TATATATATATATATATAAACAGGGTGATTCTAAAAAGATGGGCAAAATTACGCAAGCAAACAATTTTTATCAAAGAATGCATGGTCGAAAACAAAACCGCTAGAGGGCGTCAAAGTTTATGTTCTTATATGAGGCAAAAACACACAAAGAACGATGAAGTTATAAAAGCAAATTTAATGGCATGTGATTACACTAAGTGCTCAAAACAGTGGCCGGCAGTGGCTATGCACGCAGTACAATGACGAAGAAAATACAGGCAAACATTCTGAAACACACCAGTCATATTACGAACTTTCCCTGCAGCGGCCGAAAGCTTGGCGACAAGTAACGCAGCGCAGTAATTCGCAACAGGAATGGAGCTTTCACGTTTGCATCAAACAACTTTCCAAATGCGCCAGCACCTTTGCGTCTTGTTCTCAGGGCCCCCATCAGGGAGGGGAAGGTGGGCGCACGATGGTTAAAGCTTGGGGGGGGGGGGNGGGGGGGGGGGGTACAGAAATGCCTATATTTTTCTACTAAGAACAATTAAAGCACTTATAATCGAATTTCTTAATTAAATTTAATTTTCAAATACCTGCATAGCTCGAAACCTCTTTATCTCAAATGTTTCGTCTTTCCGGAGAGATTCGAGATAAACAGGTCCGACTGTATATGAGAGATACCCTGAATAACTTTTTTGATGTAATGATCAGAATTTCACGTTATATCTCAATACGTGATTCGAAGGGGAGATCTCAAATGTGCTAATTAATTAGTGCAGACAACATTTTAAGTTACGAAATCTGGTACAGAAGCATACTTTAACTGAACTAGCATACTTTTTATTCGATGGATTTGGATTTCTTATCTCCAATATACTGGGTGTAGCCACAATCTAGGAAATATGGTCCCTATAGTCTGGTCAAGAATATGGTCAAAAGTTTAACTCCTTAATGAGAATTTTACTTTTTTGTACCTTTCTCTATAACTCAAGAATTTAAGAGAATCGAAAATGTTTTGCCCAGAATTGCGAAATTCGTTTACCTAAAGATTATTTCATGTAAAAAAAATAATTTTTAATAATTATTTATAATTTTTTTTTATTATATTATTTAATAATGGTTGAAAATTTTTTTAAATGTAAGGTATACGAATTTTTACATCATTAAAAAGAAACTAATCTTCATAACACAAAATTTGCCCGAAATCGGTCGAAAAGTCCCTGAGGAATCGAATTTTGAATGTATGATTGCGAAGTGTGCAAAAAGTTATAATTGTTTGTAATCACGCACATATATGCGAATAAAAGATACCAGAGAAAAATATTGCTTCAATAGTGCTGGAATACTTAATACGACATACTCAAGGAATTAAGGCATTTTTAATTCAGTAAAAAGTTCAGATTACCTTTTGAAATAAGAGTTTATTATTAAATAAACATAATTTGTAAGTAGGTAAGCTCTTAACAAGATGGAGGATAGATGAGTAATACTAAAGTGAAACTTAATAAAAGTTATACATTTCATAATTAAAACAGCTCTATCCAGTGGCTAAAATAATAAAAAGTGAATTATTGAATTGGAAGATTAGTGATTAAATATATATTTTATAATAATAACATTAAAGAGTTCAAACTTTTGACCCTCACCAAACTTTTAGGACCCTATATCCCATATTGCTGCTATATTTTGTAGGTCAGGAAACATCTGTCTGAAAAAAAAATAGCTGTTTATTCAGAGAAAGTACGTTTTCATCTCTTAATTTGTAACATAAAATATCGTTTTCAATTACTAATTAGTATATTTGAGGTCACCCCCTTAAACCATAAATATTGTGGTTGTACTTGTTGCAGTTCATTTACGTCGCACTAGAGCTGCACAATGGGCTATTGGCGACGGTCTGGGAAACATCCCTGAGGATGATACGAAGACATGCCATCACAATTTTGATCCTCTGCAGAGGGGATGACATCCCTGCTTCGGTAGCCTGCACGCGAAGTCGAGCACTTTACAGTAGAACAGTTTAGCGAGGACCAATACCTCACACCCTCGGTCCCTACACTGATTGATACAAGTGGTCACCCACCCACACACTGACCGCAGTCAGTGATGCTTGACTTCGGTGATCTGCTGGGAACCGTGCCTTAACGATCAGTCCTCTGCGGGACCCATAAATACTGTATCCTATTAAAGTGAAATCCAATAATTAGATCAAAAGCTATACAGGTTGATTATTATTATTTTTGTGCATTGTACATCAATATCAGATCTGCCAGAGACCCAGGGGAACAAACACGCGTGACTCTAATGCTTGTGTCGATTAAATAAATTGTGGCAATCGGAGAGTTACAACCTGCGACATATGTGCAGCACTTTGCTTTCTACGAAAAGTCCTGCAAGGATCTGTGCAACTCACCCTCTGCCATTAAAAAATCTCACCCATTGTTTTTTTCTGCTCGTATACAGCTGAAGAACGACTTTAAATGCTCTAATTATTTACACACCGTCTGCGGTGTAATCCTTTTACCTTCTTTAAAAAACCTGTATCTCTGATACTATCACACTTTTAATTAATTCAACCAGTTTAAAAATGTTTTTACTTTTGTAGTGACATTTAACGCAAAGTTCTCCAAAAAAAACAACTAATTCTTATTTAAAAAACGCGTTAATGCATGTCTTATTTCACTTGTTATTGCGTAATAAAATAAATATTTAATTATAGCGCGCATATGGTTTATCAGAAGGAACTGCTGCTGTGGCATTGACAAGTCTTAATAGTAATCGTGATGAGGTTTTAGGAGGATTTATGGAACCCATTGCTGGTATAGAGGTGAGTCGATATTCAAGATTTTGTTCTTGCTAGAAAATGAATTCTGATTTTGCATCTCTTAATAGTGCCTAGTTATGCCAATAATAAATGTGATAATATTCTGTAGCTTGTTAACTTCATTTAATTCTTAAACCTAAGAAGATAAGATGGCAGTTTCACCGTCAACCTCAAAAGTCTGTAACTGCAGGAAAATATATATACTCTTAACAACTTCCCGTGTTAACATGTTTTATTTTCTAACTCAAGAACAAAACCTAGTAAAATACCAAAAACAAAAAATAAAGAAAATAGCGTTTACACTTTTAAACAACAAAAAAAAAGCTTATGCCTACGCAAAGAAAACAAATCGAGGAAACGATAATTGAAATTTCCAAAAGCGAAATCAAACACGCAAAATTTTAAAAAGATTCAACTAAGCTATGAATCGGGAAACGGTTGACATTGTGTAACTGAATATTCCAACTTAAAATTCGGCTTAGGTTCGAACTTCAAAAATATACCCTCTCTCTCTATTTCTAAATTATTTCAAACCATTTTTATCATTTCATTACTTGACGATAAAGAGAGGCGATTTACTTACCATTGTGATTCAGAAATAATCGCCAAAGAGTTTGACATCATTTTGATGTCTGAGTCCTTGCCTTTCACCGCCATGTTAGGCTAAGCAAATTCCAGTAAAAGTATTAGTATAGGATGAGCGATTCCCTTTTTGTCTGATCCCGTTACTCAAGTATCGTCTGCATTAATTAATTTGTATAATTTGAGGTTAGACCCTCGATTCTTTGCTCGAACCATTAAGGTTGAGTTCTATAATCTAAAATATGATCAGTGCATCAAAAGTTTTTCAGAGTGCTCGCTTTTTTTTTTATCTCACTGTGCCTACATAGTGCCAACTGATACCAATTATTTTTTCTTGTCTTCAAAATTCTTCATTGTGGTGTAATTCAATAACTTAAAACCTATTAATTCAGGTTGTCTATAATCATAGATTCATACCATTTAACTTTCAACAAAATTCTTGGGAAAAATTGTCTAAAATTATCATTCAAAGCTAAGTTTTACTTCTTTGAAAACTGGTCGATGTTGTAAATGATAAGCTCATTCGGCGATTTTGGCGGAGAAGCATAGTGTCATGTGGGGCAGCTGAGATTAGTTTTCTTTTCTAATACATTCATGTTTGGAACCCTATATACAGGCAAAAAAAGAATAATTAAAATCTTCAGGAGAGTCAAGAAGAAATTGGATCCTTTTTCGACAATATTTCACTAGATTAAAAAAATTATTTTCTAATTTCTATTTTTTAATAACTATAAATGAGCAAATTGTTTAATTTTTACGAAATGGAGAAAATATGATTTTTTTTTAATGGTTTTAAAAACGGTGAAAACATTACATATTGAGTGTGTATACATTACAAATAAATTTATTATTTTCGCAATTCATTTATAGTTAGAGATTATACAGATAAATATACAGATTAATTTTGCGGAGCATAAATATATTCTATAATTATTTAAATGGGTTTATATTATTAGCCAGATTAATTGCATGTATATAGATGACAAATAAAAGGCAGTGGAATTTGCGAAATAATTTGAATTTTATACAAATGCTCAATTAATGCTTAGAATGTTATACATAATTCATAAAAAAAAAAAAATTTATTGTACATAAAGGGGAAAAAATAGCAAAATTAGAACTTAATCATTAGTAATAATCATATTATGGAGGGATGAGTGTTTGTTCGAAAAGAAGTTTTATAGTGTGCTCCATATGTATTGCTCGAGTTTTCACATAAAGATTTCCAACTGTCAAGCTTAGCTTTAACTATGTTTTTCCCAAAGGGCTCATTCAGATTTGAAAATTATTCTGTATTTTTTAATTTCTTCATCTATTTCCGTTTTTTAATTTCTTCATCTATTTCCGTTTTTTAATTTCTTCGTCTATTCGGCCTCCGATGGATCTCGCGGGGCCACTAAGGACCCCAGTCCACGAGTCACGGGCTTGTCCAGTGCTCAAGCGGAACTTCTGGAGAGCCCTTGCAGCGACTCGTGGAAGAAGAGGCGGGGAAGCCCAAGAGGGCTTAGCGAACCCACGGTCGGGTCACGAGCCGGACAGGCCCAAACACAGACGACTCCCACGGGGTGCGCGCCGGACTTCAGCCCCCCCCCCTTGGGATTCAGGATCGTCCGACCTTCAGGCCATCTCCCAACCGGTTAGACATATGTTTAAACTATAATTTTGCATATGTTACTGTTTTTTTAATGTAATACCATATACTTGAAACTAAATGTTTCTTAAAATAACAATGAAAAGTAAGTTCTCACTTAGTTAAAAAGGCGATCGCAATTGTAACGATAAAATGTACCATTAAAAAATTTACTTAATACAGCCCAGCATCCGTTTATTTTGAACAAATTAAATTAAGAAGATTAGATCCCCCTGTCTCCTCCCCTTAGACCTAGCGCATACAGCCGAATAATACATATGTTTTTCCGTAAAATGTCATATTGTTTCTCCCTTATAATAAATATTGTCATCCAACTTATACATTCAGGAAATCTATGACCATTGCATAATATAATCGTTAAGTCTTAGCAAATGCACGTAGACATTTTTCATAGAGTATTAGTACGTCGTTTGTGGTATTAAATACAAATAAATAAAAGTAATTTGCGCTTTTGATTGGTAAGAAATTAAAATAACGTCGTATTAAATGAAAATCAGTTTGGGCTTTTCATCTGTGAAATTAAAAAATTTCTTATTCCATATCTGGACTTGTTTTTATCCAACAAATATTCATCAATTTCTCTTCTAAGAAAAAAGTTTGAATGTTGATAAGATTTTTAATAATCTCTTTATTTTTTTCATTTTAGGTGAAGATTATTGATAGTGAAGATCAATTAGTTCCAAGAAATGTAACAGGGGAAATCTGCACAAGAAGTCGTTTGGTGTTCCAGGGTTATTGGGGAGATCAAGAAGCAACAGCAAAAGCAATCGATAAATTTGGCTGGCTTCATACTGGGTAATTGTATATGGATCCTTTTCAAAATGGAGAGGAATTTAAAATAATTTTCTTAAAAAATAAAATGCTTGAAATACCACTTATAAAAATTTCGGCAGCAAATTGAATGTTTCTCGTACATGAAATTTAAAACAGGTGTGCACTTTTTAATTTGGAACATAAAATTAAAAAAAAAAATTAAAACCAGAACTTGAAAATCTGCATTATGGAATATCCTCTGTTGTTAATGTTTATGAAGAAAAATAATTTACCTGAAACCAAAAACATCTCATTTCTAGCTCTTGCGTTATGTTACCAACATGCAGTATTAATTATTTTTTTGCATTATTATTTTTATTATAATAAAAGACAAAATAATTTCTACTTAAAGTAAAATTGCAAGCTTCCTTTAAATCTACTTTCTTACATTCCAAGTAAATACTTAAATAATATTACATACCCTTCAATATAATCATATTTGTAAATCACTAAAATTGATTTTCTTTAATTATATAGTGCCATAAACCTGGTAGTAAATGGTAGATAACAGAGTGGGGGAAAGTAAGAGTGGGAAAGACTGTCAGTACTTGCAGTGCAAAGTATTGAATTTTAGTTATACAGGTATTGATATCCTCCTAAAATTATTTAAATAAAAAAATTATAATGAAAAACTAAATTAAATATGAAATGAACTTCGTCAACTGTTAATAATGTTTCAGTTTGTATTATTAAAATTTAACATTATAAAAATACGTTATATTAAACCCACATTTTCATTATGCTACATTAGGGCATTATTATTGAAGTTATACTTCTTATGCGACTTACAACAAGGTTGCGTTAATCGTTTAACGCTACATTTTTATTGGCCGGGAAATCACGTGGTAGGATCCAGTTTTCCCTCATTCATTTCCATATTGTTTTGGTTCTCACTAGCATAAAAATAATAAAAGTCATAAAAGTATTGTTTTTCTATAAATATTTTTTTAGTTTGTTTTGATACACATATAATTTAATAGGGTAGTATTTTTTATTTTCAAATTTAGTGGATAACAATTGTAAAAAATGAGTGAAAACAATCCCACGGACAATGCGACGGATTTAAGGTTATGTCAAGGTACGTCTCTTGTGAATATCAATTGATTGTTAGGTTTTCTCTTCTGAAATTACATTATGACGCATTCACATACATTATTAATACAAATACATTTTCCAGGGCGAGACGATGAGGCAACCACAAGCACTTCCACTGGTTCAAGAGGTCCACGAGGGAAAAATGCACAATATTACCGTGATTACAGAGCACGGAAGCGAGCGGAGCAGGAAAAAGAGTCGTTGAATAGAACTAGTGATCCTTCTACGACTGCTGATTCTTCTACAATTAACGTCGCAGGTTGCGAAGTTTAACTTCTTCCGCGCGGAGGGACTCCACGCACTATTTTTTTATATAGACAGTTATTGATCATCTAAAATAGTTGGATTTAATTATGATAATTCGAACGAAAACAAAAATATACTGGCTTTCACAGCACAGCAATTGTAAATGAACGACAGATGGACATGTGTGACGTCAGTTCGTGAATAATCACGTGACGCCACGTTTCAGGTGAAAACGAAAGTAAAGTTTTTTCTTTTTTAAAAAAAATAATTAAATGAATAGCACTCTTAGGAAAACAAAGTGTTTTCTGGGATTCTGAATGCATTATCATATGATTTGTTAAAAATATTGACTGTAATTGTCCATTGGAGAATTTTTCTTCCTATGACCATGAACGCGTCACATGTATCTCATTTCGATCACAGATAAAAGAATCAATTTTAGTCACCAACAATGATTAATTTTAAGTTTCAAACGATTTCCGTTTCAAATTTTAAAATCATGAATAGCAGAAAAAGAAAATTATTTCGAAATAATAAATAAAAAATTATCTCAGAAGAAGGATCAAATTATATCATCCTTTCAAAAAAATTAAAAAATACACGTTCCCCTCTGCAATCTTTTCTGAGTATAAATTATTTTTCGGTAGATGAATACAAATGGCTTCAAAATAAAATATCCCAATTCTGAACCTCAAAAGCTTTGTTTGATATCAAAATTTTATATTGCATTTGGTGACATTTCCTTCTTCATAGTAAACAGAATTTTTACATTGAGAATTATTATTTATCATTTTAGTGACATTGGTATTATGAATGACAAAGGATGGATAAATATTGTTGGAAGATTTAAAGATATTGTGATTCGGGGTGGAGAAAATATATGTGTCATAGAAATTGAAAATTTTTTGAGTTGTCACCCTGCTATCTTAGAATCTTATGTGAGTATACCATACCAATAAATTTTTTTTCACGTCTTCCTCAAATTTATCCTTAATTTAATGTTATGGTTTAATATAACATGTTAATTTATTTAAAAAAAATCGATTTTATTCTTTCATCCGAGTGTTTTTCACAAAATTCGATAGTGATTTACAAGGTCTGATTACAGGGTCCTCACTGAGATTGGTATTCAAAAATAGTTTCTTTTAGTAGTCCTCAAGCAGAAAAATAATAGTCCTCATAACATCCTTGGAAACAAATAATAGTAGCCTAAATAGTATCCTCTGATAATAAAGTAGCACATACGGCAGTAAAGATACTATACAGAGTGTTTAAAAAAATTGCCTTTCATATTTTTAATACTTATTACACCTTCCAGTCACATAAATGTGACCACTTGTAAAAAGTCAGAATAATCACCTTTCGCAGAGCGGATCACTTCAAAACGTGTAGGATGAGAGTGAAGGTGTTCACTGGGATATTGAGCTGCACCGAATCCAGTGCCGTGGCCAGCTGCGCTACGTTATGCTGTTGAGAATCCATGGCTCGAACAACCTGACGAAGGTGATCCTTCACATTCACAATCGGGCTTAAGTACCGATTCAGTAAGTACCTTCGAACCACGCAAAGTACACTGCGAGCTGTAATGACGCATTATACAGCTGATAGATGGCTGAAAAGTAATTCGTATGTTGGGGAGACATAGTCTGCGTCTGCAAGGACATATGCGACACTTGAGTTGAGCCTTCCATAAAGATGAGTGCATCCACAGAATGCCACGAAAACATTCTCTAGAACTAGATCGTAATGATTGAACCATTCGGACGATTGTTGCAGAGTATTTGCTTCCAGACGTTTCACGACGTTTACACCGACGTGCATCTGTCCAACGGACCACAAAACATCACTTATCGGAAAAAGCCACCAGTCGCCACTCAGTGGACTGGCATGCAAAATCATCACCAAAGCAGTCAGCATAAGTGCATTAATTAGGCTGCTGCTGCAGAGGCTCATATCCAGCAACGTTCGATGAACCTTCGTCGAGGAAACACAGTTGGTAACCCCTTCGTTCATCTGGGCATAGGCGTAGCGTCAAGGCAGCACGTGGCATTTCAATTATGTTTAATACCTTCAGAATTTTTTAGATAATTTATCAATAATTAAACTAATTATTTCTATGTTTATCACTTTCGTGCAAGTGGTAACTTAAAACATTTAAAAGATTTTTTTTTAAAAATTATTTCGACTATTACTTAAGGATTTCAACATTAGTTTATAATTGAATAAACTTTTATCTAATGTAACTTTCACATTAGATAAAAGTTTATTCAAGATCATTTTTTTTCTTCTTAGTAGTAAACTTTTGATCTAATGATCGGACCTTCATGTTCTGGGATTTAATCTTAATAGTTCAATGGGGTGACATTAAATATGCTAATTAGTTAGGGTAGACGATATATTAAGCTACGAAATCAGACACAAAAACGTATTTTCTCTGAACAAATATACCTTTATTAGGACGGAAATGCAATAAAAGATACTGCAGTTTTTTTTATCTACAATATCTAAATAAGTTACGGATCACAGTGTTGAATGCTATTTATTCTTCATTTATTTAGATAAGATTCTAACAAAATAGAATCTTCAATGTATGAAATTTTTTTTCTCAAATCAGGAAATACTGCTAAAATTTCAAGTAATGAAATGGATTCGCAATTAAAAATAGTTTCTTATTTTGGGTGAAAAGAAAGGTGAATTTTGGAGAATTCTGTTTACATTATTCTTATTAAGTTCAGAAAAATGGCCTTCAATTTATCCGATCGTTATTTACAGTTCGATTGTTTGGTAAATTAGAGCAAAATTCCACAGGGTAATAAATTTTGGCAATACTTTTTATTCAAAAAAATGCCTACTTATTTTCTTTTTGAATCTTGCCTAAATAAATAAAAATAAACAACATTCAGCCCAGTGATTAGTAATTTCATAGTTTCATTAATTGCATTTTTACTGTTGTGTTATGGAAAATTTTTGATGCATATGAAGAAAGTCAGTATCAGTTTGCAAGATTTCTCCGTCTGTAATACAAAGAAATAGTGCTTTTTACGAGAAAAAAAATATGTATTGTTAAACAAGATTCCTTTGTCGGTATTATAGAGAAATTTAATTTTTTACAGAAAAAGACTGAAGTAGTTATAAATTGGACGACATGTTTGCTTACAGAACACGAGCAGCTGGAATAAAACTCCTACTAGACCAAAATTCTTTGTCGAATGTCTGATATACTAATGAATTTATATAAACGTTTGATAATAATAACATATACATATGCATCAACATGCATTTTTTGACTTTGACATGTATTGAAAGAAAAGTTTTAACACACTTATGTCCTTTCGTTCATAGCAACCGTTCTTTAATGCGACTATTGGATTAAATTTTGACAGTTCTATTCCCTCGCTTGTCTATGCAAATTATAGCATTATAAATCTCAGTTGTCAGAGAAAAAATTAGTTTATTAATTTTTTTGTCATCAAATCTTTGTTTTATCATAATTAAGTAATAATCAATACTTAATAGAAATTTAAGGAATGTTTGCAGATTATCACAAGCCAATATATTGTATCCAGTTGATAAGGGCTTCTGTATGGAACATGTTTTACTGAAACATAAATATTTGTAACGATTTCTGTTACAGTTCTATCTTTTTATAAAAATTAACTAACCACAAATCAGTTATTACCACACAACTCTCAATAATTAAAATACACGGTAAAAAAAATAAATAGAAGCTGAATGAAAAATACCGCACTATTGTAGGTGCCTAAGTATTTCTGCCGCAGTAAACATGATAATGGAGGTTAGCCAGTAAGTAGTCCTTTTAAAACATTCTCAAAGTTTTAAAGGCTTAAAATTAAATTAAGTTAAAACTGCTTCGATAATCCTATTAAATAGTGTTTCGGAGCTCTTTCTCTATGTAATTACTGTAAATTCATTGCGATTTCCCCGAAAACGGCTTTTCAAAACAGATTACATAGTCAACAATTGAAGTTTTTTTTTCATAGTTTCAGCTTCCCTCATGGCTATTTTAAATCNTTGAAATCCTTAAGAATCCTTAGAAGAAATCCTTAAAAACATTTTTTCCCCTCATTTCCTCTATACATACAGTAATTATTTAAAATAAGCATTTTTTAAAATAAAATCCAGTTATCCGAATTTTTGATTATCCGAACGGGGTCCGGTCCCAATTGATTCGGATAATAGGAGTTCTACTGTATTTTATTTACTATTTTTTCAAATCATCGGTAAGTTTTGGGACATCAACATGTTTCTTTCGTTATTATTATTATTTGGCATAACAGAAAAAGAAAACTTTTTGATATAAATTATCTATGTTTTAATTATTCAAAGATATGTGGAGTTCCTGATGAACGATTAGGAGAAGAATTATGTTGTTGGATTCATGTTAAACCTGGAATGACCCTGACCGAAGAAGATGTAAGAAAATTCTGTCAAGGAAAGGTATAATAACACATTTTTGATGCGGTAACAAATACTACATATAAATTGATAAGTTTGGTTTATAAATTTGCAACAAACCACCATTATTTCACGAAGTTTGAATCTTATGCTCAGACATCTTTGCGTGGTTCCAATTAAAACGCGCAAAATTCAAATGTTACAATAAATAAATTGACCTCGATTATCTAAAATAGAGACCAAACCTACTTTAGATAATCCGAATATTTGAATTAAAAAATGTAATGTGGCGTTTTTACTAAATTAAATAAAGAATTAATGTAAGTCTTGCTCTTAAACAAGTGACAATTTATTATTTAAACAATTTAAGAAATAACATAACTATATTAAACTAATTTCTATTCTAAAAGCACGTAAGAATTAATATTAAAATGATAAGTTGAATTAATTGTATATTCCAATTCTAAAATAGTTATGTAAATGCTAAATTAGTTTAATATAGTTATGTTATTTCTTAAATTGCTTAAACAAGAAAATGTTACTTGTTTAAAAGCAAGACTTATATTAATTCTTTATTTAATTTAGTAAAAACGCCACAGTAACATTGTTATTATGAATACTAGTGCTATGTACGGTTTGAATTTCAATATGGCTATTTAATTAATGTCCCTTTTGCAAATAGGTGTAAAGATATTTAGTTTTATAATTCACGTGCAATTTGGTCGCAAATAACGGTAAACACTTTTGTTTTTATTAAAAAAAAAACTATTTGTACAAAGCAGCAACTAATTCCAAATCATTATCTGAGTTTATTGATTTTTGAAGTAGTTTTCAGTGATTTCTGTCTGTTAGCAGTTTTTTTTCCAGATTCAATTTACCATTATATATTTTTCTTGCACGCAGATAACTAGCTTCCATTAGAAAAAACGGATAACCATATGGCCTTATTAAACTATAATAATAATGGAAAGACAGGAAGAATGACTAAAATTCCAATTTTCAGATTTCTTACATCAAAGCAGCCAACTTCAATAACCAACAAAGCGTTTATTTTTTACTCATATAAAATGATGAATAAATGTCGAAAAAAAAACACTTCGTCAAAATGTTTTGTGAATAAAATTCACACTTAAAGTTTCTGCTAACACAACGCATTTGGCAGTTTATCAACATAAATGTTTTTATTAAAAAATGTGGCTAGAAACTTCTTTCAGCTTTCAACATAGTCAGATGTTTGTTTCAATTTTCATAAAAAATGCATATTTTTTTTTTAAATATATATTTTAAATAAATACCAAATTTGAAACAATATCACAATGCTTAGCAATAATCATAGTTACGAAAAAATTGCTTGGTCTTAAACTTCTTTCAAACAATAACTAAGGAAACAATATGCTAAGTACAAATAGAAAGTTTGAACATCCATTCCTGAACTATCAGTAAATATCATCATCAGTACAGAGACAAATAATGAATAACTAGGAAAAAATAAAAATTTTACCTTTTTATTCCGAGCCTTGCAATGGTTTATATTGTTCTGAAACAAATGCCTGTCTTTTAAACTTTCACTTTTCATCCAAAAAATATTAACAATCTGCAACAAAAAACGTCATGCCCATAGGAGAAGCCAATTCAAGAGATATTAACGAAAGTTAAAACTGTAACAATGGAATTTTGTGTTTTCAATATCACATTTCGGGAAAGTTATGATTGTTTACAAACCACTCTAAGAAAATCTACCCTTTTTAATACTACATTAAACCAGGGCTAAAGATAATAGAAGGGCTAGTTCACTTCTTTGGGGAAACTCTCGCAGCGCCAAACTTCCGATTTTCGCCTGTGACGTCACGGTGGAACAAAGCTTGAGCTTTTACTTCAAGAACGAAGCGTTCGGTCTAACTAGCTTTAACTAATATTGGAGCATTCCTTTTTTGATATATTTCAGGACATTCTTTGTTTTCTGTAATGATTTTTCGCAGTTTTGTGAAGTGAATTACAAAAATTTAAAATTATTTATGAAATACCAGTTTGTGCGATTGCAACTTACAAAAATTTAAAATTATTTATGAAATGCCAGTTTGTGCGATTGCAACTTACAAAAATTCTGACAGAAACACAAAAGGAAAAAATATAATTTTCCACGTGTTCTCTAAAGTAAATGAACTACTAAATTTTTATTTAAAAACAATTCTAGCCATGAAATTTACGATTACATATTTTTCTATTGGCTATTTTTTGCAGAGTTAACAGTTAAATAATTAGTGGTGTCAACAGCCAGTTGTGATTTTTAACTTTTATGCAATTTTTTTATAGTAAAAAATACATTTATTTTTTTATTAGTGGTACGCAGAGTTTCGAAAAATTTAGAAATTATTTCTTATAACTTATGACTTTGGGTACACAAAAGTCATAAGTTGGGAAACACTGATCTAGTGCTTTCTTATCTAAGGGAGGACTAATTGTTCTGTCAGCAGCAAGGATGGAAATGTGTCAGGAATTTGAGAACATTTTTCAAAGTGTGCATGGGACAGAAAATCAAAAGTGTCATCAAAGAATTTATAAGTGAATTAGAGGGACGATATCCCGCAGTGAATAAAACAGCAATACGATTATTTTGCATTTCAGAACTTTTATAAGAATTCGCCATCTAAATTGAAACCAAACAGCTACTTCAAAAAAAAAAAAAAAAAAAAAAAAAAAAAAAAAAAAAAAAANAAAAAAAAAGACAGACGAAAAAATTAAAATGAATAAGTCAAAGAAAATGAAAACTTAAATGAAAAGTATATATAATTAATAGCTAAAATTTTCATAACGTAGTTTTTAATATAGTTATTCTAAATATTTTTTTTAATTATAATATAATTATTTCTAAAATATAATTATACTATTTTAAATTTAAATATCTATAAACAATTGTAAAATTTCTAATATTTTTATGAAGCTATATAATTATTTTGTTAGAATAATTAGCGTTTAAGGTTGTTGTTTCCTAATGATTAAGTATAAACAAATTGCCATTAACAGCATATTTTAAAATCAAGATTCTAAATTTAACCTAACTTTACAAATTATTGTTATCGAACAATAAGCAGCTAAAAAAGTGTCGATATATGCATTAAATTTTTTTTTAATAATAAAAGTTAAAACTGAAAATTTTAAAATAAAGTATTTATAGCGTCATGTACGACAACTAGTAAAATAATTTTATTAGTTTAAAATGGTATTTAATTGAATGGTATTTAATATTTTTTCCAAGAAAATTTTTTAAAACTATGTTTCTGAAAGGAAATATGTAAATTGCATAAAGTTTGAAAGCTAATATCAAGAAAAAGTCGAACTTATTTTTACAGAGAGAATGATATAAAGTTTTCATAATATCTTAGTTTGCGATCTCCGAGATTTGTGCGCAGCGTGACGTCATGAGGAGGGAAATCGTAGCTTCAGCTCTAAGAGCAGAATGAACTAGCCCTACTATTCTCTTTAGCCCTGACATTAAACACCACTACTCTACACCCTTTTACACTCTACAAAGATTACCATTCTTACTTTGAATAAAAATGAAGATAGTAAAATAAAAATAATTTAGGGTGACTATTCTTTCTTTTAAAGAATTTTGTTCACAACAGAATACTTAAATACAGTACTCCATTTAGTTTTCCCCTTTCAATGAGATTGAGAGCACAGCTCATGCTTTCAGTATATATTTTGAAAGATTATGAGTTATGATGAGTTTTCTTTTTCCCCTTTATAATAATCAGAAACACTCTAATAAGAAAATTTTGCACTTCTCATTACATACTGGAAGAAACTGGTTTGCCATGAAGTAAAACACTTAAATTACATGATAAAATATTTCTGGTCAAACACTCATACTGTTAATTTTTACCATAATTGTATTCTAATTAGCCTTTCTTTTTTCTTTCCAGATAAGCTACTACAAAATTCCTCGTTATATTTTGTTTGTTGATGAATTTCCAAAAACAAAAACCGGAAAAGCCCAGAAACATGAAATGGCTAAAATATCAATAGAAAAATTAGGTTTGTGATGTAAATTGCCTGTATTGGAATGAATAGGTTTTATATATAAGGTTTGTGCGTATTTTTTATATGTAAGATATCCAAGAAAGATATCATACTTTCTGATCTAAAAGTAGATTTTTTAAATCAATTAAAATTTTGAAAGTTGACTTATACACCAGTAACACAATTGGACAAAGATAATTTTTTTCCTTCTAAAATCTGATAATAAAAAAAAGAGCATAATCTATTTAACATAAATACAAAAAAAAATTATTATTACACTCCAGTGATAGTTAAATTTTTAAAACCAAATGAAAGCATGAAGTATTTATCAGTATTAGAAACTAGGAAAGCAAAAATTAACTCCCATTCAGAGTATTTAAAATTATTTTATGCATAAATTAAATGTATACTAGAATTGGGGCAAAAAAAATCTTTGAGCTATTTTTTTAAATTATTAAAAAATATTTCCGCTTGCCTATATCTTACATCTTTAGAAAACAGAACTTAGTTAGAAATTTGTTTTTAGCTAATGTGAGAACAAATACATACAAAATCTAAAACTTATTTTAAAATAGAGGGTCGACTTACGCACCGGAAAATACGGTATATACTATTTCCGTAGATGTGAAGACAAATGCATGAATAGATACAGCTTAAGTGATTCTGCAGATCTTAATTTTAACTTCCTTAGGCTAGTTTTCCAGAATTCATTTCAACTTTAAAATATAAACTTACTTAGATACAGGGTTCTGTTCTTAAAATATGTTTATGGGGTCTCTTGAAGAGGATCACCAAAATCTTTCTGAAAACAAATATTAAACCATTATTTGCATTTCAATCTTCTTGTTAAACACCCAGTGAAATTACAAAATGTGTACTTGTTGAAGATATGCATCCATTTCTCTACTTCCTTCTGCCTCCAAGATTTGAATTTTGAAATTCCAGATAGATCCTCGCAACTTTTCAGCGTTCATTATGCATTAGATACACAAACTATTTATTGATGAACTTTCTTTTTTTGGAATTTACCAATATTTGTGAATTTTAATTACAAAAGTTTTGTTTGCTTCATCTTTCTTTTTACAATAATGATCATTTCAAAATATATCCTTAGTTAAAAATTACAAATTTAACTCATATTTTTATGCAAATGACAGTAAAAAAAATTAAAATTTCAACTAAAACATATTTAAATTCATTTTTAACAAAAAAATCGATATAAGAGAGCAAAAGTATTTAAGTTCGATTTTTTCTAAGTGCACAAATGACTTTGGTTAAATATAGTTCAAGATAAACAGCTTTCAAATTTAATCAGGATGTCTGTGGCTTTGTATATGTATCCATTCAAATATGATCTAATGGGGAGTGGTTTATGATTTGCTTATTTTTGCTGACAAGGGGGAGGAGGGGTATGAGCAATGGTTATATTAAAACTCCTTATTTTCAATTCGTAAAAAACAGTATTAAATTATTTTACAAGAGTTTCAGACGTCAACAGTTTTGTTCACAGAATATTCACATTTGTACACAAAATTTTGTACAAAAAATGCATTGATTATGTTAAAAATGAATCCTACTCGCGAAACATAGTTAGTTTTACTGCCTACAGATGGCAGTACGGGTTCCATAAATTTCTTTTCATAATAAAGGGGGAAATTAATTTTTGACCTTGTTCTTTTTATGCGTATTTTGGTGCGTTTTTCAGGGTAAAGTAAAATGGCTGAAAAGCGAAAGTTAGATAATTATGATACAGAAAACTTATCGAGTTTTGAGTCTGATGAAGACTTTGTTCAGAGTATTTAGATAATTACTGCATTTAAATGATTCATAAAGTTTTACATTAGTTGTATTTATTTAGTCCTTTCAATTTAATATTTGTCTTATATTTATAATTAACTATTATTTATATAATTGATTATAATCATTTATAATTTACTATTAATAATTATCATTTATTAATTATTTTAAAGTACATAAAAACTGTTATTTATGTACTACAAATACTTTAAGAAATTTTTAAAATGCGTGAGGCTATCTACAGCATCGCCAGAGAAGGGTGGCATTTTCAGAAGAACGGCGGGGGAAAACAGCTGCCACTTTCGACTACTGTTTGCTCCTAATACTGCGCGAATTAATGAAATGAAAACTGGTCATTTCCCTAACCGTCAAAGGGTTAAGAATATTCTACTACAAATTTTATAAAATGGTAACTTTATTTAATTCAAAGTTACAATTTTTTAATTAAATTTAATCCTAAAATTAAATTACTACAGTCAGAGTTAAAATAAAAACCAAGAGGGGGGAAGGTGTAACAGCTTTATGTAAGCTTGGATGGAAGTTTCTGATTTGCTTATTTTTGCTAACAAGAGGGGTGGGGAAAGTCCAAAAATATGCTCACATGATACTTCAACCATCTTTCATTTCATTGGCCTCTTCTATCATATAATTTGAGATCAGAAACTTTTGTATGCTGGATTTCACTAATGTATCGTTTCTTATTAAAATTTACTTTATTCCCAAATTATACTACTTTTGAATAAGAGAAAAAAAACTAGTTTAATTAAAAAACTAGCATGGTTTGATTTTTCCCCACGTTTTTAAACACTCTTAATGTAGGTAAAAGTGTACATAGATTAAAAGTACAACATTACAATTATCAGGTATTAATCATTTTATTTTTTCAATTGATCTGGGAATGAGAAATCAAGTAGTATCAAAAATAAGTCAAGTTATAAGATCACCAAATATTCATTGTAAGAAGTTGTATGCCAAAGCAGCTATAGGAGAACCAGTAGGTACACCTGGAAAAGGTCCTGAAGATCCAGCAATATCTATATGAGAGTACTTTAATGGCTGGCTTGAATTAATATCATGCTAGAAAGGAAAGGAGGAAAAAAATATAGATTTTTTTTTAGTACTACAAGCACTGCAAAACTATAAATAAACATTATCAAAATTAGGGAGATCAATCTCAAAACAAAACGTGACTCCTTGAGATTTCCTGAGTAAAATTCTAAAAATTTAATAAAAATTTGTGATGCAATTAAGCATTATTTTAATTGCATTAAGAATATGTAGAACAAGTGCTTAGAAGTAACATTCTTAATTTTTTCCATTTCATTTTCATTTTAATTTAATTTTAATTTTTTAATATTCTGTACCCAAAAGTTATTAATCAAAATAAGGAAATAAACAAATAAAATGTTAATTTTTGTTTAATATATTTATTATCAATTTAAGTTAAAGAAAAATTGATTTCCAAAAAAGATTTTTTATTTTAATGTTTTAAGAAATATAATTTAAATTTAATAAAAAATACTTGTTAAGCAAAAAGTGAAAATAGCACCATTTTTATTCGATTTAAAAAAAAAAAAAAGTTCAAATAGCACTGATGACAAAAAAAAGTAGCAATGGATAAGTTTTTATAAGATAAGGCTAGTTACCCATAACAGTTTTAATAAAGCCAAATAATGTATTTAAACACATTTGTATTTATTATAAATCACTAATACTCCAGGAATTTCATTGAGAATTCCTGGCTTTCCAGTTTAAAAAAGTTACATTTATACAGCTTTAGCATATTAAGTGCATACACAAAAAACTAAGGTTCAACTATTCACTTATTGACTATTCCAGCAAGTTATTGTATTTTGCACAAAACTGGGGATTTTATGTTTCCCACCTTGCAATCACTGGACATTATTTAATTTATTTTTTTAAAATCAGAATTTAAGGTTTCTTGTTGAAGACTTCTGCCACTGTACATTATTTTGTTCAGAATTCAATCTATTTATGAAAAAAATTAGGCATCAAAATAAGTTTCTTCATTAAACATTTTCTTTCTTTTTAATAATACCATTTAATAAAGATAGTTTGTATTTAAATAACTTATACTTTGTCATAACAATTTTTTTTTCAATTTTTTTAATTCATTCAATGCACATAAGTATAATTGGATAGAATTTTATAATTTTTTAACCAATAAATCGTAAGTCGTTTTTATTTAAATAGAAGTTAAAACTAAGCTTACATTTACTTATTTGACATCCAGCCATTAGCCAATCCAATTTCATCATTATAAATAAAAAAAATTTAATGTTTTTTAAAAAGCAGCATTTTTTTTTCTTTTCAAATCATTTAATACTTTATTACTTAAGTTTATTTTGTTAGTTTTCCAAACATATTTTCCTAATATTTTAAAAATTTTCAATACATTTCAATGAAATGTTCTTTTTCCTCAAATATTCTCTTTATTTTCAATTTTATAGATTTTTAACTGTTTTTATTTTTGAAAAAATGAAAACAAAATTTAAAATAATTTTACAACGTTCTGATGCTTGTGTTTTTCCGATGCAACGTTCTAGTGTTTTTATTATTTTCTCTTTTTTTTTAAATTTTCTTTCAATACATGCAAATTAAATATTTTAATAGAAATTCTGTATTATTTTTAAAATTAACAAATCTTAAGTCAATTTCATTTTCATTTACTGCATATAGAATTATGTCATAAATCAATATAACTTTATTATTTTAAATGAAAAACATACAATTGATGCTTCAAAAGCTGTTATTGATGTTAAACAAAGCATCTTTTTATAATGAACACTTTTGTTTGTTATAGATGTATTTCTTATAAATTTATTTTCAATTTCTAAATTTTGTGGTTTTGATTCAAAAGAAAGAATATTTCAACTTATATTATATTGTGACTCATCACAATATTTAACAGACGATATATTAAGATATAAAATTTCTCAGACCGCCCAGTCCTAATCAAGAGTATGTAAAAATTTGTTGTGAAATGTTTGAGAAAATGTGAAGATTAATTTTATGAAATTAAAATTGTGATTTTTAAACCTGGGTTCTATGTATGCAAATTGCATAAAAATTAGGTTCTGTTTTTGCGAAAAATAAATAAATAGTACTACATAAATAGATTTTTCAATGTTTACAATTAGTGGTTGAAAATGTAGGTTTTAACTAGAAAATAATTTGTGTTCCTGGAAAACTCTGCACATGCAGTTAAAATATGAGGCAACTTACTTTGTCAAGACCAGATGCCTTTATCATAAAGGCAGCAGGGAATTGATGACCTCTTGGAGTTCGAGAAGATGCGGCATTATTGCACTGCAGAAGATCTTCATACTCTGATGGCCCTTTACATAAGTCATAATCCTGAAAAGATTGCCTTTTAAAATAACATGTTTTAACATTAAAACCATGCTTAACAAAGATTGTTTCTTAAGAACTCTGTTATTTGAAAATATTTTGCCCAGGCCTTGATCATTAAATAACAGGGAACAATTACTAAGTAATTTCTAAATTTTATCTTTTTTTAATAGTCTCGACAAAAAGTGTTAGTAACTTTTATTTTGTACAGATTTCCAAATTTGTTTTAATTGATCTATTCATTTGACTATATTTGATCTATTTCAATTTAAACAAAAAATAAAGAATATCAATAACTATATAATATTTAAAATATATAAATTGTTATCATAACATAAAATAATTTATAGCAATTACTGAGTAACTTCATTTCTGCTCAATAAATAAAACTGCACTTTTATTCTTAATTAATTACAAGAAAGATTATAAAAACAAAATTGAGTTAAATTACAATATATAAATAGTTAAAAAAAAATGAACAAAAACTTTAACATAAGTGAGAAATAAGAAATCTTTCAGAAAATGAAAGTGACGTTTACATACATAACAGGGGTGCTAATAAAATAAAAAAAATCACAGGTTCAAATGGCCAATAAATAAATGATATTTCTAGCTGGTACACATTTTAACTCATTTGTTTACATATCTCTATTAGATTTTTTTTAAAGAAAAAATTAATAAAAAGAATTCACTTAAAAAAATTTACAATACAGAGAATGCATTATGTCATAATTAAGATGACATAAGCTACTTTGCAACAAAAACACTGACTGAAACATGAAGCCAAAAATCAAAAAAGCATGTCATCTATTTAGATAAATTGCTCGCTCAGGGGACCATTAAAAGTATTTTTATTGGTTGTCTGATTCAAATTTCAGAGGTTTGCGATCAACAGATCTGTGATTATTTAAGCTCTGCATAAATTATCAGTAATATGATACTAACTAGACATTTTGGGAAAATGAATTTTTTATTGGGAATACAGATTTTGTGTAATTTTAAATAATTCCTTCACAAAGATTTTTGTAAACAATGATGTTCCATTTACATAGGAAGCACATCAGTGCATTTAAATAGAAATTTAAGTTAAATTCAAACTATAATGCTTTAAAGTGCACTAGAGCAGAGTTTCCCAAAGTGCGGTACGCGTACCCCCAGGGGTATGGAACACCTTAGCGGGGGTACACGTTGTTATGCAAAATATCTTGCAACAAACGTAAATTTCAAAAATTTTTTATTTAAAAAAAAAGCAAGCCATGAAAATTTACGATTACATATCTATCTATTGGCTATTTTTTGCAGAGTTAACAGTCAATAATTAGTGATATCAACAGCCAGTTCTGATTTTTAACTTTTGCGCAGTTTTTTTACAGTAAAAAATACATTCATTTTTTTATTACTGGTACACAGCGTTACGAGAAATTTAGAAAGGGTACACAAAAGTCATAAGTTTGGGAAACACTGCATTAGAGTAATAAATGTAGCACATTAAAATCGTTAAGAAATCTCAGGTATGGGTAATTCCTGTTAAATAATTTAAAGTTGATAACCATAAATTTTTTTTCCTTTCTCTCTCTCTTTTTTTTTTTTTAACCTTTTAAAAGTTAAATACAGAAAGAAAAAAAGTCAAAAATACATTATGAAAATAATACAAGCATTTTCAATTGTTTTAAAAATTAAAACATATAATTATTTTTCATTCTTAATATCAAATGTAAAATTAATAATTTATATTTATTCAAAAGCAACAGAAAAAATAAATAGTAAAGAACAAACTTTTTTTTAAAAAAATTTCGATTCTAGCTTGCTGAAACCAGGAGAAAAAAATTCTTTTAATCTCATCATACTGAATGTACACAGTTGAAAATACATGTATACATATCTCACCTCACGTCGAATAGTAGATATTTCAAACATGTCTCCAATCCTATGACCCGCTTTTTGAATGTTATGAGCAACATTTTCAGCCTCAGCAGGTCCATTATCAGCAATTATCTGCAACAAAAAGACAAATAATGGAGGGGGGGGAAAACAGCAAGTATTAAAAGAAAAATAATTAACAATTCTTAGTAGTAAATCAAAATTAATTTTGCATACATCAATAATGTTCCGGTGTGTACGGATCTAAATGATTATAAAAACCAATATTATAAACTCTATTAAAAAATGAGAACATTGCAAAGGATAAATTAAAGGTAAATATTAGATAGTATCTTTATATAAACAATTTAATAATACTTTTTAAAATAAAGCAAATGTCTTTACACTCACAACTGTTTGGTTAGCTCGTAATAGATAGAAGAGATTGTTATACAGGGTGCAAGGAGAGAAAAAAAGCAATCAGCCTGAATAACTTTTGGTCTAATGACCTGATTTTCATGTAATGATGGTCAACAGCCAAATCTTTCACACAGTAAGAAGAAAAATAGGCGGATTAGAAAAGAAAAGACAGAAGAAAAAATGCACTTTATACAAGTAACTTTACCAATTTAATTATTGTTTTTTAATTAAAATATAAACAATTTTATAATAAAAAAATATCACTTTGTTTGATAAAAAATCATTAAAACAGATTTGACTAGAGCAATGATTGCTTTATTATTTACAATTTAAGAAACATATTGAAAAACATACCAGAAGCATTTCCTTATTATATTGTTCTATGAAACAAATTATTCTAGAATTCAAGCCACTATAACCAGATTTACCTCTTATTTTTGCAGCCCCTGTTTTAAAATCATTATAGAAACAATTATCATTAAAGCTTATTCCCTCTTACAAGATTCTTTGCTTCATTTCCTTCTAATATGTTTTTGTTTCCAATGCTACTTGCCAATACCAGCAAGCCTGCTTGTTGAAACCAAGCAAATTTAAGGCAGAGGGTGCCTTTCTTGCTCTTCAGTGGCGCCATCTATGGCCAAGAATACAACTTCAGTCACACACACGTCACAACCCTCTTATAGAGCAGACCCATTCATACATCCATTCATTCATCCCCAGATAGTAATTTTGACCTGAACCAGAGAACAATCAATCTCCAATTCAGCACCTCCTGATGTATGATTTGTTATGAGAAAACGGAGGACTTTGTGACCTGACAGATTTAACATGCACCAGTCACTGAAGTCTTCGGCCAGCAGTGATCGAACTCACGACCTCTTTGACACAGGTCTAATGCCCTACCAGCCAAGCTATCCCAACCCGTTTCGTCAATTATATATTTGCTTAATGAATAATTTTTTTTTGTTGCAAAACCTGGACAGTTTTGCATTGACTTTCTATTTTTAATCTATCCTTTAGACTCCATATCTTTAGTTTTTCAGGTTTCTTACAGTTACCTTATTCTTTTCTTCCTCGCTGATCCTTTTCAACATTGTATGACATAGCTGAACATACTTTTTAAAGTTTTGTCTACTTAATGATCCCTCAAATTAAACAATTTGAAATCTGGGTTCAATGTCTTTCCAATTGAACTATTAAAAGATCAATCATTTTCATATGAAAATAATACAGTTTAATACAAAAGTAACTTTGAAGATGTTACCAACATTTAACCCTTTGAAAATGTTATGATCTTTGGGTTAATATCTAAAGTATTATATAAGAATGCAACTAAAGATATGAATTTTAATTATTTTCCTTCAAAGAATTAAATGAGACCAACAATCCTACAAGATTTGTTTTCAATTTGCTGAAAATAATAGATTTTTTTGATAGCAAAATTGTTTTCAAAATATTCTTAATTATTTTCCTAAAATTTTAAAACAAATCCAGTAAAGATCATAAAACAATTTTTACGAATAATGGATGTTCTCTCAATTAGATAAAACTAACTTTTGTGGTTCTGAAATTCAAATTGTATTATTAAAATTCTAGCTGGCTTTGGCAACCAGCTTGGTCTTCAGTCACAATTATCTTGTATAAAATATAAGCTTTAATCCCTTAACAGCGACATATATTTCAGAAAAATTGACCAAAATTGGAAATTTTTTTTGACTGCTTAATTTTGTTTTTTATATTATTATAAAAAGTTAGAAAATGGTTTTTTATGGAAAAAATAAAATTTTAAATGCCGTAACAGTTTTTTATAATTTTTACATACACATTAAAAAGTAATGCATTACACACACATCTTATTCAATGAGAGCAAATTAAACAAAATTTTGAAGCTAAATAACTAGTATAATATACTATAAAAATGCAACAATATGATTTTCAAAACATAAATTTTACAAATCTTTTACAGTATGGTATATCCCAAAACCCCCACCCACATTTCCCTCCCTCGCCTGCAATTGTAATTGCTGAAAAACTAGGATCACTAATGCCCTTTATTAGGGAAATATGAATTAAGTATCCTATAGTAGAAACGAACTCAGCTCACAAAATAGAAACGGTATGGTAACAAAGCAGAATGTTCAATACAACAGTATTTAAATATTCTAATTTTTAACCCTTCCTCCAACTTCAAAAACTTAATTAGTTTTTGACAATATATTAACTAAATTTCTTTTTGAAGTTTATATGTTGCCTGTTGTTAATCAACTAACAACACATGAAAGAAAAAACTAGAAATGTTACCCTAAATATTTTTTTCTGAAGTGCAAGACAAAATTTGTTCTCAAAAAATTTTATTGGTAAACAATCATGTAAGTTATTTAAATTATTACTTTCTGTATTTAAAAAAAAGTTCAAATTGGACCAAAGTACATGACTTTGTCAGAACACTCTCTACCGATTATACCATATTGACATTTTCAAAATATTTGTTCACATTTTCAACACATTCAAATGTGTCATATTACTTCTATAAATGAATCAGTATAACATCTCTGATCATGTGATCATGTTTTTTAGACATTGCATCTATACTAATTGCATACTTAATAAATAACATTTTATTAGGTATGTTTTTATTTTTACCTTTTACTATTTTTTAAATGAGAAGTAACTTACCGAATAAGCTTCACCAACAGCCAAAACAGCATGACCAGTTAAAGTTGCAATAGTGAACAAATATGGATTGACAGCTTTCACAGCCTATGAAATGTTATGAAATTTTATTAGATAGTTTCAAAACAATTTAAATAATTTATTTTGTAAATCAATCTGATCAAGATGTAAAAATATTATATTTAAAAAGATATACAAAGTAAGAGAATTACAACAAGCAATAAAATGCTGTACATAAATTTTTTTTTAAATTACCACATTATTTTAATTTGATTTGTTAATACGAGCAATAATAAACTAAGGAATATTTTATTCTAACATTTGCTACACAAAATATTTGAATATTAACATTCTAGCATTTAAACATTTTGCTCAAACAATCATCCCTTAAAGTGTAAAGTGGTTTCTAGAAGGTGTCACGTGGAGCTCTAGGATTCCGTGAACTATTACCGTAACTGAGAGTTGGAACCGTAACTGAGAGTTGAAACTATTTTTAACCAGCAATGATTTCATAAACCTTCAATTATATTTACATTAAATCATTGATTTATATTTCTGTGATCTTTAAGAGATTAAGAAAATGTTAGCAATAAAGAAACAATTCATTTAAAAAAAAAATTCTAATAACATACTAAGCAAAACATGAAAAGGATATGCATTTCTAAAAAAAATTTTTTTTTGCTATTTTTTAAAATTTCTATGAACTATGCATTATGTCTTAAAAATATATTTGTAGTGTCAAACATTTTATGAAAATACCTGAAAATTACTTTTTTTTCAAATAATTTTAAAATGATATAGAACAATTAAAGCTGACAATTAAATTTAAGTATTGTTTGATTTGGTCATTTAACTTGCTTGAGTCGGTATCAGTGGTTTTTACACTTAAATCACATAGATTTTATTTATTGTATTGTACTTATATTTAGACTTGCATGTATTGTACATATATTCATTGGACATACATATATTGTATATATATACACAATATATCTATACATATTTATTGTATGTATACATGTAATGTATGCATGTATGTACATATGGATATAGATACATGTATTGGTACATGTGTGCATACAATGGACATAAATACATTGCAATCGATTTCAATCAAGTACAACTGTAATTGACGCTCAACTCTGGTAACAATGGATCAAGGTTTGGCGGTAGTAATAAATTCTCAAATCTCATAAAATTACTACCTTTTCCTTCATGTGACAGAGCACATCGGTCATTACCATACGTCCTTCTGCATCTGTATTTCCTACCCTCACTCTGAGACCAGCACGAGATGTTATGATTTCATCAGACACATAAGCATCTGCAATCACAAGAGTATTTCATTAACTGAAAATTTTTAATATTTAATAAAAACAGCATTAATCTTAAAATTACAGTACCTGATCCTACACTGTTTCTAACTAAAGCCAAAGCTCCAACAACTTTAATATTTTTGGGTCTAATTTTATCCAGGGCCTAAAAAGGAATATGCACAATCTACTAAAAATATACCCTAAATAACTTTTGCAATAATTATCAAATTTTCAGATATTGACATTTTATTAGAGGTTTAAAGGGGTTTCCAACGATATGGTAATTAAATTAATAAATAAGACACAGACCTTTTTTCTTGGATAATTCAGAACTTTCAATATTATAATTATAATACATATTAAAACAGCCATTGCATCCAAGTGTAAAATAAAAAGCAGAAAGCAACACAAATTCATAAAAATGTCTCATGTATGTTTTTATATCAATTCTAATTCCATTATTAAATATGAACAGACATCACAATCAAGAAAAATATAGAATAAAAAGCAAGTAACAAGTTTAACTGGTTATTTCAAAACAATTTAAATAATTCTGAGCAATTATGAATTTTCTATTGCAACATATGAAATAGATCACTCAAAGCATACTGATAAAAGGTAATTTATAGAAGGTAACTTTAGACAAGGTGTTTTTATTATTATAATTTTAGTTTAAATTTCAAATAATGATTTGGCTTAATTTTCTTTACAAAGGAAATAAATTAACAAATGGTTGTTGTAAGCCCACACAGTTCTTTTTTTTTTCGTACAGGGAAGCATATAAAGTAAACCAAAAAAACTACAATGCATGCAAACCAATCTGACAATTCTATTCTACATACAGTGAAACCTGCCAAGTTGACTACCCTTGTAAGCAGGGTGTATAAAAATCATGATTTTTTTTTAAAAATCAAAAAAATCGGATTTTTTTTATTTTAATCGGATTCTTTTGATTTTAATCATGATTTTTTTATAATTTCAATTCTATGGAACATAATCAGTTTTGTGTACCATAGATTTAAAGTTGTATTGTATTACTATTGTTACTTATGGTATACATTGGAAATAAACATTACTAACCATTATCAACAAAATATTTCTTAATAATTTAAAAGCAAAAGGTGAAATAAGAAATAAACAATAACAAAGTGATTTCAAACTACAAATCAAGAAAGAAATTGTTTATCAAACAATATGGGATAATTATTAATTCTACATCTACAATATCAAATTATTTAAACAATCATTTAATTAGTTTTATTTAAAGATTTAAACATAAGGACTAATTTAGCTGCCTTTTCTACATGCAATTGATTCCGTAGTTTAGTATGTACAAGTCCAAAAGTGGAAAACATCCTCTCTATCCCTGCAGTTGTTCCTTTTGTAATACATAACAACTGTATTGCATCAAACTCTTTTTGACCTACACAGTTCTTTAGAAGCGCAATTGATTTCCACCATTCCAAGATGTTTAAAGATTCTAGAGATTCTTTATCAAACAAAGTTCCATTAAACGGAGGAGAGCGTACAATGAATTTTAGCAAAATACTTAATAAGGAGGTTTCTCCATACTTTTCTTTAACAAAGTTTACAGCTTGATCTTTTTCATTTAGTGTTAAACATTGTACTTCAGAATTAGGATCCAAGAGGTAAGCTAGGAAATGAGCTGGTGTTAACGCTTGTTCATATCGTTTAGTAAAAAAATTTTTGCAGCAATTATTATTAGAATCTTTCAGAGTTTCCTTTAAATTTTTCCAGATGTTGACAACATTTGATAAACTACAATTATCTTTTTGCATTTTATCTAATGCTACAGAAATGGGTTTTAACATTAAAAGCATATCTTCTGCATTTCTTTTAATTGCCATATTCATGACTTTTGACCTGATATTGGTGTCGATATCATCCCTATTATCCTCACAAACTTGCATGAAAGTTGACCAATTCTTGATGTAGCTTTCTAATGAATCACACATAGAATTCCAGCGCACTTCAGTTGGCCGAATTAATCCAGTACCTTTAAGCTCATTGTATTTAGCTCTAATTATTTGATGATTTCGGAAATANTTGCATCCAAGTGCAAAATAAAAAGCAGTAAGCAACACAAATTCCTAAAAATTTCTCATGTATGTTTTTTTATTAATTCTAATTCCATTATTAAATATGAACAGACATCAAAACCAAGAAAAATATAGAATAAAAAGTAACAATTTAACAGGTTATTTATAAACAATTCAAATAACAATTCTGAGCACAATTTTCTATTGCAACATATGAAATAGATTACTCAAAGCATACTGATAAAAGGTAATTTATAGAAGGTAACTTTAGACAAGGTGTTTTTATTATTATTATTTTAGTTTAAATTTCACACTGTTATACATTAATTTTACATATATTAATTTTCTTTACAAAAGAAATAAATTAACAAATTGTTGTTGTAAGCCCACACAGTTCTTTTTTTTTCTGCACAGGGAAGCATATAAAGCAAACCCAAAAAACTACGATGCATACAAACCAATCCGACAATTCTAATCTACACATTAATTTTTTAATATTCAGTTTCTGTAAGAATAAAGCAATAAATCAATTGATGCACTCAGATTAAAAAGGGCAATCTCAAATTTTGAAATAAATATCAGACACTATACCCCTAACATTAATATTTCATTTGGATAATGAATTGGGATATGCCATAACTCCATTATTCCATGTAATGAATTTCAAATATTTTGTAATTTTAATTCAGAGATGCTTTTTTTCTGTTATATTTAAATATATTTATGTCTAATATAATTTATAATTTCTTTGAATCCAAATGAACTGGCTTTAATTTTGAACTATTTTATAATTACTTAATCTTTTAAAACATAATTGCCAACTAGATCAACATTACTACGATACAAGTTATAACTATTTTCCAGAATATCTCGATAATTTTAATTTTGCAAAGTTATAATTTTTCTCTTAAATTTGTTATTTTACTTGTCAAATTATGTTTATTTACATAATATTTATGACAAAATAATATTATTTAAACAATATAGTAACTATCATATATCTCTGGACTATTTTTCTAATAACACTGGTGTTATGTGGCTACTAACTATTTTTCCAGAATATCTCAGTAATCGTAACTTTGGAAAGTATTAATTTTTCTCTTAAATGATTATTTTACACGTTAAATTACGTTTATTTGCATATTATTTATGTCAAAATAGTATTATTTATTACATAACACCAGCAGCAAAACACTGGTGTTATGCTGCTACTAAAATGTTGCAAGTGTTAAGAGGTCTGCAATTAATTCTCTTTGCTGATCTGGGGAAAAGAAGTTCTCTTCTGAAGAAAAATGAGAAAAAGAAAATATGGACATATACCAGCATCGTTGTCTAGTACAAATGGTGAGCCCTTCTGTCCTGATGAAATAGTACTTGGTTGCCCCCGACTATTCTGATGAAAGATTTATATAAATCCGAAGCTAATGAAGAGTCTTTGCAGAGTGTCGTCTTGTCAATGTTGTAATTTAGAGGACCAATTGTTTGACTTGGTGGACAAGTAGTTTTTCAAGACAAGTAATTTCTTTACATTATTACAAAGATTTTCACATTACACATCCAGATTTTCATCCAAAGATGAAAATCTGGTGCGTAATGTGAAAACCTTTTAAATACAATCAATGATGATGCATTGATTTTAATCGCTAGATTTGATTTTTAATTTAATGACTGAATGTTAATGAATTAATGCAAGTTTTTCTTTTCAATTTAAATTTTATTTCATCCTTTTCATTCTAAACTTATTAAATTTTTTTGATTTGAAAATACTAGTGTTTTTTTTGCAAAAGCACATGAATTGTTGCATTTATAAAGATGTTTAATAAGTGTTGTCATTGATTTTTAATTGATAGTAAATAATTTTTATTGATATTTAATTGGTAATAATTCACAATTTAATTTTCATTCAAAACTGTATTAACTTTCAACTGACCCTCTAAAGTTATTAATATTGATAAATGTTTAAAATTTGAGTTAAAAATAATTGTCAGAGGTACATCCACCTTCAAAATTTGCCCAAGTGAAAATGACTTCTGTTATTTGAGACAACATTCAGACTGTTTTGAATTGTAGAACCCAATGAACAAAAATCAAGTGTTAATATATATAAAAAGGAAAATATTTAACAGATTTGAAAATATTAATTGCATGAGTGATTTACTTTTGAAATAAAATTTAAATCTATTTTGAATCTTTAATTATGAATGACTTATCAATTAAATATAAAAGCAAGCACCACTATCATACAACTAATAAATTAAATTTTAATAAAAAAAGCACTTGAATTTAAGAAGTAACAATGTTTATTTATCAGAAATATACCTGAAAAAATCCTGCAACTGCAGCAGCTCCACATTTATCTCTGTGCATACCAGCCATTATACCACCTGCTTTAATATCACAGCCACCGGTGTCATATGTAATACCCTAAAAAATAAAGTATAACATTTTGTTGATCTCTTAAGGAAATGTTTTCTCAGCCTAAATATAAAATTAAGAATATACCAAATTCAAAAAGGTAGAAATTATAAGGTTTCTTAACTTATATAGCACAGCCCCATGGCAGAATTTTTTGGGATTTTCTGCGACAAAACTCTCTAGCACTAATATCTTTCTGCAAGATACTTTCAATAATAAAAAAGATGTATGTTGCTAATTTAAGGTAACATACATCTTTGTTAGACTGCGTTTTCAAAAAACAAAATAATTTCTCTTAACTGAATATGTAATATTTTTTATTATTCTAATATTATAGGTTAAATGATATTCTAGCATTTTGTTGGGGGACGGGAACACACTAATTATTTCCTTTATCACATTTTGTAAATCATCAACACATTAAAATAATAATAAATATCATGAAATCGGTAGCAGTAATCACAGAAAAACAGATCAACGACGAAATCACGCCAATCAAGAGTCTTATGAAAGGAGTTACTCAAACGTGTCGTTCGTTTCAAAATTTGATAGTTGCAATAAATAATATCATATAAAAAATATCGGGTTTTAGAAACAATGTGGACATTAAAAGCAATAACTGCTAAAAAAAATAGATAGAATCATTGCCTTAAAAAGTAAATGATCAAATGCTCAATTTGAATTTCCCATATTGCCTAAAATACATCCAGATATCTAAAAGACACGTGGAAATTAATGTTAATAACTGACAAAAACACAATCAAAATTGATTTACGATATTTCCGTAAATTGAGCGTTTCCAAAAGTGATCATTTAAATGAGCAATTCAAATCTTATGTGTATATTTCTGCAGAAAAGCAAACCAATTTTCTTCTGACTTCCCAACAGAAAATTCCTTCTGCAAGAACTATGCAATATTATGAGACAATGTCCCCATGTCACTACTATTCTACCACAGGGTAGCATGCATCAAAAAATATTTAATCCTTTTAGTATTTCTTATACTTCTCAAAATTCAATATGCTTGCATTTCTGTCTGACAGTATTTCCCCCTTTTTTTAATAGTGTAAACAAAAGAGTGCACAAAAGAAAAAATTCAATAAAAAGTAAGATAAAACTATTTTAGCAATTATATGGAAATAAAAGCTACAAAGCATCATTCCTTGACAAAAGAAAAAAAACACTGATTTTAAATGAAATGCTAAAATTTCCTGATAAATCAAAATTTAATACTTTTTAAAATTAAAAATATACACAAAAACCATTAATAACAAAATTTCAAAATTAAAAAATTGAAACCTTTCCGACAAGGAATAACGTTTTTGAAGGTTCGTCACTGGATTCATAAGTGAGGAAGACAACACGGGCACGGTGTCGCTCAACACCTAATACAAATAAAAACATTCATTAAAAATACAAAAATTTTAAACAGTTCATATGGAAAGCATTTTAAATACATTCTTACCCTTAGCACAACGATTTACAGCACTCAAAAGAGGATATTCTTTAGTAAGAACACTATCATCTTCAATAACTTCAACTTTAACTGGAGTATCTTTAGAAAACAAGCTTTGCACATAGTGGGCAACATTAGGGGCTGACATTCGTTCAGGATCAGAACCTCCAATATCCCGGCATATTATTCTAAATTTGAAAGGTAAAATATTTACTGTCATTTTGTATGTTTATGTTCCTTAACATTGAACACAAATTACATTTTTGAAGTAAGATTCATAAAAAAATATATATAAAATTAACAACATCCAGTGTTGCATAGCATCATTAGTAAATAAACAATTTTTATTTATTGAGAATGTAGAACCTAATAATAATTTTTCAAAACATTGAAGGACGCTAAAATGGTAATATAGCATTACGATAGAAACATATTTCATAAAAAGTTAAAAATAGACTTCAAATTATAATTTGCATACAGCATTGCATTATTAATTTTAAAGTGCACTTTTTTTTCCATTTCAGCTAATATATAACTTCAAAACTTTATAGTGATTTCTTTAACAAATAAAAAAAAATTAAAACAGAAAATAAAACATTTTTTTAAAAATATGTCAGGCAGTGTAGACTTACAAATTTAAATATCAGTAAAATTTTGAATCTTATATTGAAACATCATACTTATATTATGATATCAATTAATTTATTTTAATTTATTTGATAAAATGTAAACACAATGTGTAAAAACTGGTAGCAATGAGAGTAGTGGGTTTTATCCCAATAGATTAGATTTGTAAAGACTCGTAAACTAGATATAGTTTTACTATCAAATTTAACATTTTTATATCCAAGAACGTTAGAATCATAAATATTTTTAAAAATATTAAATAATGTTAAAATGGTATTTGATTTAAATTTTTTTAAAACTTATTTAAAAATAATATTTTTTGCTTTGTAGAACTTTTTATTACAATAATTTTACAGCAGAGCAATTTCTAACTTTATAAAATAATTCAGAAAATAGAAATATCACATTAGAGAATTGCATTTCATTTTCCTATATTTTTAAATAAAAAAAAAACAATAACATATCAAAATAATAAATGTTATAATAAAACACAATTTGCAAACATGAATGTAAAGTAAACCAACATTGTAAAGCCAATCAAAGCATATTTAAAAATAATGGTTTGACAAAAAAGTTACTAATCAAGTAACTTTTTTGTCAAACAATTGTCAAACATCAACTTTTTTGTCAAACTTTTTTGTTCAGATCAACAAAAGAAAAAAAAAATCTTGGCTCATTGTTTGAGTATCCAAAGTTGTCTGGCTTAAAAAAATGGGAGGAGAATGTATTTAATTTGAATTACAACAGTATTTTTTGCACTGAGAAAACTTCTTTCTCCTGACACTGTTGAAGGAGTAAAGAGGTTTTAAATCCCTTTATTTAATTTTCATGAACAAACTGAACAGCTCTATTTGGCAGTATCTTTCAAAACATGAAAAATACTATGTTGTAACCCAATCACAATTGAAACTATATGGCATGAGCTATTTTATACTCCCTATTCACATTTCACTAGAAAAATTATACCAATACAATTCTCGATCAGCATTTTTCAAAAGGTAGCCTAATATCCTACACTTGTCTGTTTTTCTATTTTTGACAAGTATCTGTGGTTCTGCGTAATTTATGATAATTAACGTATATACGTAATTAACAATTTATATAAACAGTATATACAGTAAATAAATCAAGCTGAAATTTTAAGAATATTTTTGATGTGCAGTAGATTTTAGTAATAGTTAAATTTTGTATAAAGTTCCTAACTTTAAATGTCTCTAGTCAGTGGTTGGAAATAGTGAGTTACCAGTAGCGAGATACTGTAGTTTACTAGTACTGTATCATAGTTTGTATTGTAGTGGGCTACTTTTTAAAAAAAAGTAGCCGAGTGGTGCGATACAAAAAAAGGGTATTTAGTAGCAATTCTTGGATACTAGTTTTACCATCAGTTTAGTTAAGAAATAAGGTTCAAACACAATTTCTCGAATCTGATTGGTGCGAATATTCGCAGGTCTGTCAATGGACACAATTAGAAAGTCCCTGTACCTGAGCATTAATAAGAATTACGTAGTTAGATTTTTAGATTAATATAATATAAACTAGCTATCACGAACAACAGCTAATTTATCAATATGGCCACACCTTCAAATGCGAATGCACACTCATGAAACATTGATGTTATTTCAACGGAAGAAGACATTTTCTCTGTAATTTTTGATGTACTTTATTTCTGAAAGGAAATAAAAAAGCATTAAACACTTAACAAAATCGCAAATATTTGATAATTTCCTAGCATTTCTAAAGCTAAATATCCGCTGTCGAAAAACGAATAAAAAAATGAAGACAAAAAGGACAAATTCAGAAAAATTGGTTTAGAATAACAAACTGGCTAATGTAAACATGTATCTCAATACCTCATGTTTAAAAAGGCCAATTTTTTTTTTTAATTTCAAACCATTTTGAACATGAATGTAAATTAAGTTCTCCTGCAAACTTCATCACTTAAGTAGTGGCAACTTTTCAAAAGTAGCTTTTAGTCACTATATTAAAAAAATATGATACATCTTTAATAAAGTAGTTGTAGTTAATTATAAAAGAAATGTAGTTTTCTGACTATTGCCTCTACTACATGTATCTATATGATAATCGTGTACGTCTAGGACAGTTTAACAATTTCATTCACATACCAACAAAAAGCCCTTTTATAGGGCATTATAATTTCATTATTCCTTATTGAAACAATAAAATTTTATCCTAATTAAAAAGTTTAAAACACATGTACAAAAAACTTATTAATAATTATTTTTAAAAAAATTGACACAATTATTCCTTCTTAGTACTGTATTTTAAAAACAAAATAAAGAGTCCACAAAAAATAATGAGACACAGTTTATTAATTGAAGATATGAATCAAATTAATAGGAAACAATTTATTTCTTCGAAATTTTTATTTTATTTTAATCTTTAATTCTCTGAAATAATAAAAAAAAACTTAAAACATTGAAGAGTTGACAAAAGCATACGTTTATGGTAATGACTAAAATATTTACATATAAAAAATAAATAAACAAACAAATGTCATTATAAGTTATTTTTACAATTAAATTATTTAAAATAAATGTGGTGGTTAAAATTTTTTCTAACCACTCTCTTCGCATCATCCAAACTTAACAACATTCTATAATACATACAAAAAAAATTTTATACATACAAACCTTCCTAATTCTATCCCAAGAGTAAATTTATAATCCAAATCCTGTTTAGGTGAAGTAAATCCTAAAATGTCAAATTTTTCAGACCTTTGCGGTACATCTTCTCTAATTTCAAAAGGCTATAAAAATTAAGAAAAGATACATAAATATAAAAAAGATAAAAGTTGAGGAAGCAAATTTTTTTAATATATTGAAATTAAAATGTAAAAAGATTTATTCTGATTAAAGTATTTTCTTTTATACATATACACACAGTCTACTCTCTTTAGTACAACCCCCTCCACTACAGCGACCCTTCCATTACAACAACTTATGTATAAAGTCCTATTTGCTATTCTTCTTCCATATCACCATATCATTATTTTCATTTGAACATGAGCAACAAAATGAATTGTTTATTCCAATATAGAGAACAAAAACTTATTGATTCGATTCAGGAAATAAATTATTTGAACCATTATTTCCTTTGATTTTACTGTACAATAAATGCAAAACACCTTGAATCCCTTTAGAATGAAGTGATATAACCAGGGGTGATTGTGAGTTCAACTCAAAAATCCAGAAAATTTCTTGAGTAAAATCATTAAAGATGCATAATGTCTTTATAAATTCAAATCATTGATATTTTCAAAACATTGAATTTTAAATAAATTATATGCATCATAATTTAAATGAATAATTATGTATAAGTTTATTTTTATCTCTCATCACATTTATTATTCTACCAGAAAAAATATCCACAAATGAAAGATGCCAAGTATAAATTCTAGTTCTTCTTCTTGGGCACTACAGCCTATGACAGGCCAAGGCCATCCCAATAAGCTTTTGGCATCTTGATCTATTCTATGCCATGACCTAGTTCTAATACTTTTAAATAAAATATTCAAGAATTTTTATACATATATGTGATCGATGATTTCTTAAAACTTCTGGACCTAAGACTTCCAAAAACTTTCGGAGCGCAGTTAGGGAAAAATCCGAAAATGTGGATTTTTTCCAGAGCACAATCACCTCTGTATAACATTCTAAATCCAAAATCAAAGATGATCATAATTTATGGTCATTCATAATCTGTGTAATTTTTTTTTCAAAGGATGTAATAAATTTATCAATCATACTTTTCTTGTTTGAAAATTTTATTCACTTTTTTGTGAAATGTCAGACTGGTAGGGTGAGTTAAAACAAAACACTTTTTTTTTTTCAGTTACCTTGAAGCATATAATTTATCAAAAATGGCAACTCTGGACTAGCATATTATTTTTAATGATTGTTTTACTTATAAAATATTACTTTAACAGAAATTTTTAAATATATATTAATATAGAAAAAAGGTTGAATTGTTGCCAATTTTTTTGTCAGTTGCCAAATTTTTATAAAGCATTGCTTTATTGAAATTGGTCGAGTACTTTTTTAGCTATGATTTAATATTTTTGTGCACTCCTAACACAACCTCGAGTTGCAATAGCTGTTTTTGACCAGACCACAAAGGTCCTCATAACGAGTGTTGACTTTATATATATAATGTGCATATATAGTCTGCACTTATACAGTTGTATATATATGTAAATGGTGTGCAAGCCTTTCTTATAGAAAAAAGAAGAAGAGGCATTTCAATCAAACATAGAGGAGTATCTGAATTCTTTTTTCATTTAAAATTATAACTACAATTATTTATTGCTGATTTAAGATTACTATAAGCAGTATTTTTTTAACTTAAATTATGGAAAACTTATAAAATTTATCTATAATTAAATTGTTCACAAAATTTTCATAATTTTTTCATTTTTATCCATATTTACCACATAGAGAGCATGAGTAGCTCCTAAGAGAGATGCTTCATCAAATGAATCATAGGCGTGTCTGGAATCTCTTAAAGGATAATCATCAAGAATAGCCAATAATATGCGTCTTGACCCTGCTTGAAGAGCTCTATAAAATTACAATAGAAATTGTACTAAATATTAAATACATAATTTAAATTGGTAAATTATTTAAAAAAATCTCTTTTATTTTTAGACTAGATAAAAAAATTGAAATCTTTCAATCAATAACAATTTGATTAAACATGCTTAACAAGACATATAATTAATAAAAATAATTTTTATACAAATGCAATTTTAAATTCACAACTTAAATATAAACTTTAATTCAAATAAAAATAATTTTTTTTTATTAAAAGTAGAAAAAAATGAGTGTACAGGGCTTCATTATATTAAATTATTTTTTCCCAAATAGGTTTTGGCAGCATACTGGGGTTCCTTAAGGCAACTAATAGTTTCAGAAATAAATAAAAAGAAATTGAATTTTTAATTAACTTTCTAAAAGTTTTATAATTTATTTAATTTTTCTCTTGTTTTATGTGTTTCCAGAGAAAAGGGAAAAATTTAATAAGTTATTAATTTACAACCAGTAATTTCAAATTTAGAATATATCATGCATGGTTGGAAGGTTTTTTTAACAAGCGGCAATTTGGACCTAAGGTTAAACTGGCATATCAGTTACACATTTTCGAAACAACTCATATATTACATTTTTGTAATAATATAAGCATTATTATTAACAAAACTTATAATAAATGGCCTACATTGCCATTAATGCTTTAGTTGTTAATTATAAATATGAAATATTATTCCAATATTTTTAAAAGCATCCATATTTTTTTCTAAAAAGTTTTTAATTAGAGTAAAAAAATCTAAGCAATTAATTTTTTCTAAGAATATTTTTGTTAACGTTATTTAAAATTATTAATATGTATAATATGGAGACAGTTTCTTCTTTAAGAAGCACATACAAATTTGATTTACTTTTAATAAAATTTGCTGTTAATAATATTTAGTAATGCTCATTTTTAATACAATTAAATTAATTTAAATAATATTAGAAATTAATCTTAATTCACTTTCTTATATCATTTTATTGTAAATCTTTAAAGTAGTTTTTTTATGCAAACATCCAAATAATTTAAAGCACTTGAAATTCGTTAACAATAAATAAAAATAAAAACTATACTGCTCGACAATTGCTAAGGAACAGTTACGTCTTTCGGAATAATTAATAATAGACGTTGACAGATTCGATGAAATTAAGAACACAATTAGGCTACGTTAGTCGAGGCTACGTGAATTTATTATTATGCCAAATAGTTCAGATATTGACCTATCAAAAATTAATAAAACTAAAAAAGATGCTCGTTAGATGATTTCCAAAGAGCCACGAAAAATGAGTCTTCTTGCAAGAATGAAACAGAAATGAGTACCACAGAAAGATCTGCGATTATCTTGGACACTAATGCACATTTTGCTTATGCTGTCCACTAAACTATCAAAGAGTATAAATAAAAACAGCACTGCTTGACAATTGCTAAGGAACAGTAATGTTTTTCAAAATATTTAATAATAGACGTTGATTTATTGAATAAAATTAAGTACACCTGCGTAGGTGCTCATTGTCGTCCATAAACAGAAAGTCTGGACCTATTATAATCCTAAAAAGAGAAGTATGATCAAGAGTAATCTCTCTGCAATGTAATGTTAATTTGACCAGAGATGTGTTCAGCTATTGTGCATGATGCCTCACAACACGTCCGCCCCCTCTCTCCATACAAACTAGTAACCAGAATCATGAGTTTTAGTGAATTGTCAGAGAACATCACTTTGAACTGCTGGATACTCCAATCAATGCATTCCTTACACCAACATAATATTTCTCAATGATGGCATGATTAAAGTGAGAGGCACCAAACACGAGATATAAACTAGCAAACAGAAGCTATAACCAAACATGAGCTATAACCATAGAGCTATGAACTAGCTAACATCATATGATTGATGTTATCTTTAAAATATTTTGAAAAATAAAATCGTCTATAGTAAAATTTAAAACAATGGCTAATGCTTCACAGTCGTATGTTCCAATGTTGACAGCGGCCTTTCCTGTGCTTTGAACTATCCGTATGCCAAATTTCATGGCTATTGTTCGGATGATTTAGGAGTTTATGAAGGACACACAGACAGACCAGCATTCATTGTATATAGAGAGATTAAGAGTAAAAATGTACATAAAGTCAATTTAATAAGAATTTACTAAAGTACCAAGATACTGAAATATATCAAAATACACAATCTGAAAAAAAATTTAAAGTTTTGATATTTTGATTAAAACAATTATAAATATACTTATTTATAATTTTTGATTAAAACAAAATAAACAGAAAGTATTAATGTGATATATACATAAACACTTTTAAATATCTAAACAAATGACATACTTAAGAAATTTTTGATAAGAAACAATGAGAAATAATATTTAACCTTTTGACACCTTTCTCTGCAGCATTTGCAAATCGACGAACATCATCAAAATGTCTATCGAGAGGACCTGTAGGACTATATACCTACAACAAAGGAATCAAACTATTAAATAAAATACTTAAATAAAAAAAATAATGTTAATGAGCTTTTCTGTGCACTTGGAAAGAAACAGATTTAATATTTTGCTTTATTGTACACCTCATGCATACTTCCTACAATTTAAAAACTAAATTATTATTTCATTTAATCTGTTTCTCAAAAAACAAAAATCATAAATATTACCTTTATATAACAGAGCCAATTGAATTTAAAACTGACGTGCTTTAATAACATTAAATTAAAAATATAAGAATTTGGAAGACCATGAAAAATTTTCTTAAAAAATAGCTAAAATAACTGCCTAGAAAATGATAAGAAAAGAAAAAAAACATAGATTAATGATGGAATATCCATGAATCACACCCATTAAAAAGTAAGTTATTCAAATTTAAATTTTGTGTGTTTCAATAATAATGTATTAAAAATAACGAAGTTCTCAAAATCATGCTGAGATCTTGAAAAAAAAAAGATAAATAACTGTCGAAAAATTATTAAAAACAATGAAATTGTCCTTCATCAAAATATCACTGGGATTTGAAATGTTCTATCCCTTGAGCCACCATGGCTCCATCAGAAGTTATTTTATTTTATAACCGTTGTCGAAAAACCAAACCAATTCTCAGTGTACAACTACTTATGTTCAACTTCGTAGTCTTTTATTTTTGAACATAATCCAGAAGACAAGGCAACTCTTGGATCAAGTATTGGGAGAAATTTGCCTTCGTGGAAGACTTTCAGACAGACTAACCTGCATTTGCATTACATGGAGAGTAAAACCCTGAAAACCTCCCATGGTTAGCCTGACATCAAGGGGACTTTAACCAGGAGGCCTAGCCAAGTCTAATAAATTTATCATAAAATGTAGCATAATAAGGAAATAACAAGGAATTACATTATAACAACAAAACAACTCTTTTATTTTCGTAATTTAGAAAACAATTAAAAACCAAAAATGTAATGATAGCAGAGTAAAATAGAAAAAATATACTAACTGAAAAACACCTTTTAAATTTGTGATATTTACAAGGAAATCTTTGTGACTTTCATGATGATGACTAACAAAAAAATACAGAAATTTATGTGCGATTATACCATGTGATTTTCTGGGCAATAAAAATGTAATGTCATCATTAGGTTTTTATACATAGTTACATTTATCCAATTTCATTCTTCATTAATGTAGTTTATGACTAGAAGAAATTTATTTGAAATATGGACAATTGGATAACAATTATCATCTCCAATTAAACTCTTTGATACTCTCATTTTCTATTCTTACCACATGAATTTTATGTGTGAATTTTATGTTTATAAAAATAAAAAGACTGAAAATAAAAATAATTAATCTGAACTACAAATTTTATTATTATAAAATTAACTATAAAAACTTAATAACATATATGCTTTTAGACGGCTTTATGTGTTTAACTATTGGAATACTTCTTAGCACTTCTTGATGATACACTTTAGTATGTTAATCTTTCACTTAAACATATATAAACTTTTCAAAGGTTACAACACAATCCATAAATTTAAAGTTCAATTTGCTAGTTTTTCTTAAATTTTATTTTGAAATGTTTAAGATAAAAATTATCAGCAATTAACAATTTCTTTTTAATATCATTTAATATATATGATTTGCATACTTCCATTTCTTATCAAAACTAAACACAAATTATCATTACACATGCTTGAAATTAATAATGAAAACAATAAGTAAAGTAATATCAATTTTCCGACAGTAAGAAAATGAGAAAGAAAACTAAAGGAAAACTAATCGAGAATAGAAAACTAATTTGAAAAATCAAAACGGCAAGCATCAGATTTTTAATCTATGAGTTTTATTTAGCAAGTTTTTAAACATTTGTAAAAGAACACAGAAGACAAAAAAAATAGTTGTTTTAATTATTTGTTAGAATCTTTGCACACAAAAAAATTGACAAAAGTAAAAAATAATAATAAACATCAGAAAAGGAGAAAAGGGTGAAAAAAAAATAACACATTGATAAAATTTCATGTCTTGCAACAGACAACTTAACACTTCTTTTTTACTAATGAAACTTACCAACTTCTTAATGTTTTCATATCTAACTACTTCAGGTACGAGGAAAGTAATACTATCATTGAAACATGCATCGTACTGCAAAAAAATAGAAACAAAATATTTTAGCCAAATAAGATACCAAATGTTTAAGAGTTTAATAAATAGAAATAAGGACAACAACAAAAAAATGTCTAAGGAAAAAAAGTAGTCTGATCATTCGATGAATATGATATTAGAATACATAAAATCCAATATATTTAAAATATTTAGAAAAGATTAATATAAGGTGTTGTAACTTGTAATATTTATGGTTTAGAAGATAATGAGCATGAAAAGCAGCTGAGGGTGCAGAAAAGCAAGCTGATATTATAAAAGAATAATATAACAATCAAATACATATACACATACATATATAATGACTATAGATACGTACTTGACTATTTAACTTTAGAGCTTCTAGAAATTTGTGTAAATAACTACCCTCAGATAAATGTTGTTTTGTTATGTCAGATGATACTATTACAAGAGAATCAAATTTATAATTGTCATTATCAAAGCTGGAGCCAATAGGAATAGTACAAAACTTATTTCTGAAAAGAAAAAAAAAAAAGAAAACATTGTGAATGGAATAAAATTTAAAAATTATTATTTACATACAAAAAATTTAATATTCTACAAATTTTTTATACATAACACAAATATCTTTTACATAACCATTGTGTTAGACTATCAAGGGAAATTGTGACACAAAGTGAAAAACCCTAGAGTTTTATGTGCAAGAAATCAATATAAAGACATCAATTTATAAACCATGCATGTTTGATATTTAACTTATTCAGAATTCAAAGCTGCAGCTTCTGCCACCATCAAGGAAAGATACCCTAGTAACAATGCATCTACACAGATAGCTCAGCTGAGCAAACTACTGGACGAGCCAGAGCTGGAATTTTTTTCAGACTTTTTCAACTTAAAGAGCTTTTAAGTTTTAACTCAGATAATTTTGATGAAGAAATTTTTGCCATTTACCTGGCTCATCAGGAGATCTTGGAGAGACCAAAGGAGAATTTTGTCATCTTCATTGATTGTCAAGCTGCAATATGCACTATCTCAAATTATGCACCTCTGCCTGCAGCCATAGAATTCACTTGCAAAACTGCCATTAACACTCTACTGGTAAGAAAATGATTCTTCAATGGATTCCCAGCCATTGTGGCTAATAGGGAAATGAAAATGCAGATAATCTCGCAAAAGAGTCATCCTTCATGGACTCCCCTCTGTCCCCCCACTTACTTCAGAATTGTCAAAACTCCAAATCAAACAGAAAATTCAGAACCACTGACCAACCTCCAGAGATGAAGCTGTTTGTAAATCTTGGGAAGAGCTTCTAACATCTTGTCTTAAAAAAACGCTTTCAAAAGCTATTTGAGTTTCATCCTTCTGATTGCTCACTGGACATGACTACCTTCAGTCACATTAAACCTGCTGACTCTCTTGACTACATTTTGTGTAAGGAGACATGAATGGGGAGCGTCTCCTTCAAAGCCGCTTGTAGTTCTTCTCTCAAGACGCTCTCCCCTCCCAGAGATACTTCTTATTTGTATTGGACTGTGAGATTTCTCATGCTCGAAAGAACAACTGAAGGATGTAATTAAAAAATAAGTTTGAAAACAAGAACAGAAATATTTTTTATAAAAGCCAAGAGCAGAAGATCCTATCAGAGCATTCTCTCTCAATCGAAACAAAAATGATCCAATAGATACAAAATTGTTAAAGTAAGTGGGGTGATTGTCAGTTGCTAGAACTTATGTTGTGACCTTTGACCTCTTTGTGGTCAGATGGGTAAAAAAAAAATAAAAAAAAAAACTGTTTCCGTCAAAAAAAGTAAAGAATGGGAGAAGGGTTGAAAAATGATTACTGAAATTTCCATGTTTTAATATATCACATTAAAAATTAATTCAATCTACTTGTAGTCAAATAAAAGAGGACAAATAGATCAGTTATTAGATAATTCTGCTACAAATTAGAATTCGCAACAAATTGCAACTCACCAAACTATAAGCTTAAAAAAATGGGGAAAAACACAATTTTTTTTATAGTGAGTTTATTACAGTTAATCTTTTAAATGTTTTCCATTTAGGAATTACTTTTTAGATTACCAATTTCATCAAAAAGAGGACTTTTCATTAAAACAGAAGGTTAAGAAAGCAACCATTTCCTGAAAAAATAAAATAAAAAGGTAGTTTTCTTTATGGGAGGGCAGATTATTTTTACAAAAAGGGCAAAAAAGTGCTTCTATTAATAGGGATCGAAGGGCAAGCTGCCCTTCTACAAACGCTTAAGGGGAGAATACTGCTGTATTTAAACTAAGGAGATCTCATTCTTTTAAATACATTATTAATTTTACAATTTGGTATCTAATTTCTGTTTATAAATAAATAATAAAAATTATAAAAAAAATAATAAATATATGAATAAGTAAATTTAAAATCTTCAGTTATTCTTTTTGTATGAAGTTAGTGTGTTTGTGGAAGAAAGTTGATGTTTTTTAAAAATTATTTATTGTAATATTAAATAATGATTGAAAAAATATTCAAGGTCATACTTTAGAATAACTTAATTTTAATTGAGAACATAAAGTATAATTTAAATCTTTGTCTTAAATAAAATTAAGAAAAACAGTTTAAACTGTTAAAAAAAAATGGCTTACTTCATTGGCTTACTACTTTTTTAAACAAACCTGATGGTGAAACCTCAGGTGGTGATAACATCTTATTATAAAAGTGGTGTGCCTTTTTTTTTTTCTTTGAGGGGTCTGACAACTGCAATTGCTAAGTTTCACTGTCCAACACTTATAATTATAATTAACCAAAAATATATACTCAATGACAGAATAAAATAAAACATACAAACTAAAACAATTTGAATATTTTCAAAGAGTTGCACAGATGTTAAAGTTACCAATGCCATTCATTCAAACATAAATAAAGTAAATTTCATGTCTAAGAATAATTTTGGTATTTTTCCTTATTTTTATAAGCAATACAAACTATCTTTTGTATATATTCATACTTTGAAACACTTAGAGAAGGAATACAATGAATCAGGCTGTGTCCTGCATAGAGATAAATTAAGAAATTTCGCTAATGGCGTACCCATTTACAATTTAAAATATAGGTATATATTTCAAAGAGGACAATTTTCGTGAAGTTGAACTGTGATTTTCAATACTCTGTACAGAACTATCTCCAAGACAGGATAAAGACCTTATTCTGTCGTGGACATAGAAAAAAAAATTGACATATGGAAGTCTTTAAGACTTTTAAAGCAGTCGAAAATTTCATACATATGTCTGATAATATAAGAAGGGAAAAATCCTTCCAGATATAAAACAAACACTCAACTAATTATTTATTATATTAATTAATTATTAACATTTGTGTACTATGTACATAGCATATATGAATCAGTACATTTAATATTAAGCATAAAATCTAAAAATTAAAGTAATAATATCTCATATACCCTAAATTCATTGCTGAATGGCTGGGTGACATATCGAGTAGCTGATATCGTTGAGTTTCCTAGAATAGAATATTAAGTGATTTCCAAACTTATTTAAGGGGCTGTTAATCTAAATCACGAGGCATCAGATATCTAATTTCCGAAAACTTTCATAAGAAAACAAAACGTCACAATCCTCTGTTTCGGTCAGTGACTACCGGTTACTTATTTCTGTACACATACACTTGAAAATCAGGTTCAACTTTCATATAAAATAGGAACCAGTGAACATATTTTATCTTTTGGCAATCCTAAAAACACTAAATTCCTTTTGTTGCTGCCGATAACCAAAATATTATTTATTTTCCTCTCTCAATTTCCTATTTTCTATTCGCGATCGCAACACTCGAATACGCCATCTGGGGAGAGACCGGTTTCATGCCTTTAGCCCTTCTCCCTTCCCTCTCCTCCTCTTTTCAGTTGTATAGGAATGTACTACGATAATTTCCCTTTTCTTAATATTTTTCCTTTTTATTTAANTAGCTCTTTCTTCGGATAATGGATGAAGAAACTCTAGCATTTATGTGGGTAGAAATAATCAATACATAACTTTCACCATAATTTAAAATTAAAATTAACGCGCTATACAATTTAATCGGTAATTATGTATTTCAATTAAACTTCTGATGAATTGATAGAATATTTCAACTGAAAAATTAATGAATCTGTCTTAGCGACTTTTGATCAATAAGTAATGTCTTCATTGGAAAGAAACATTCAAAATTGGATTGTTAATGAAACTGATGGGCTAATTGAGGGTCGCTTAAAAAATTTACCTGACTTTTCGTCAATTTGTAGACTCACCGAAGGAAGAAATAGAGAGATTTGGAAATTCGTCATCAAACGTGTGGGCTCGAAACAGTCAATTGCATCTATACGAAAACTATTGCGGCTACGACGAGCTGTTAAAGAAAGTGAAAAGTATCCGGATGATAATAAAGAAAACATTGTTCGTCTCTTGCAGAATCAATTGGATAACACTGAGGATAAAGTACGATTTCTTGAACATACTACAAAAAACGTCTCCAAACATGTATTTTTATTAAATACTTCAATTAAAAATAAAAAGGAAGAAAATGCCATTTTAAGCCAAAAGAGTACAATTCTTGAACTGGCCACTTTGAATCTTGAAGAAAAAAACAAATCCCTTCTAGTTGTTAGTGACAAACTTTTCATTTTCTTAAGTAAATTATTTGCGAATGAAAATACAAAATGCTTTAAATATGCTATCAATCGGAAATCATTTAAGAATGCTGTCAATGAAAATTTCAATGATGCTTTTCTTAATGGCATTCTCAATGAAATTATGTTAACTGTTAAAAAGAAACTACTTCATGAAGATGTTAATTCGTCCGTCGCTAATTTAATCTTTCCTGTGACTGAAATTATGAGTGAAACAATTGTTACAGATATTGTTAATCATTTGAAATGTATATCACAACAGGAATCTAATTCTCTTCAGAGCAACATTGAAAAAGCCAGGCAAGCAGAAGTGGGAAGATTGTCAGAAGCCTATTTGCAATCTATGAAGCAAGATCTAGTTAACAGTTGTTTTCAAAAAATAAAAATTGGTTCTTACAAATGTTCTTTAGAGATAGATGATGTGTATTTTAATAAGGACAATAGTAAGCTGAAAAAAGATTATCTTACATTGCATATTCAAAATGAGTGTTTGTCTGATAGCATTAAATATTTGGAAGAGAAACTTGCTAGTGAATTGGATATAACTCAAAATATGAAAGAAAATAATGCAAATTCGAAAGTCATGTGTCAAGATACTGAAATAATTATGGGAGATTTTTATAAAAAGTTAAGTGTCCTACATGGATTATTAAATACGATGCCACAAGCTTTCATAAACATAAGGCTTTCTTTAGAGTCTTGCCGTAAGTTCATTGATACCCAGATGCTGTCCACCATTAAGTGCAATAAAGATGATTGTTTCATCGATGTCATTAATGACATTGATTGCGATTCTAAATTATCTTTTGAGCTACTGGAAAATAAAGAATACTTACAAGATATTTTTAAAGATTATACTTTTACAAAATGGAACTTTCCTGCAAAAATTTGGGAATTTCTTTCTTTAGAACCCTTTCGGAATCGACATTTGGTTATTGAAAAAATTGCTAGCATTAAAACAAAATTGTATGTTGTGCCGAAGCAGCTCTGTTACACACCTGATGAAATTTCTACTTTGACAGTTAGAAAAAAGTTATCTTTGGTTAAAGACAATGCAGATGATCTGGAAGTTGTCCAGAAAAATTTATTTGAGCTTAGAAAAAGCTGTAAAAGACTTGAAATTGTCTTAAAAGACTGGTGGTATCAAAATGCCCAATATATTCCAGCATTTGAACACAATGGAAAGACACTAAAAATGTGGTTGGCGATTTTAAATGCAATAGATAGTTGATACAATGCAACCTATTCCTCTTTGTAATTTATCTTTATAAATAATTTGCAAATAGTTTTAAATATCATATTAGTATTTAGCTTTTTGTATGTATTTTTGTCTTAAAATTGTATACTCATCATATTTATAGTTCTATTTTTTTTTTTTTAATTGCTTAGTTTTCTACTAGATAAGCTTTGTATTTTATTGAAGGAGTTTTACGACATTAAGAAAGTGGGGAGCTACAAATTGTTGGTGTCACAAAAAATTTAATTTGTTTAAATACAGAAGAACAGGGCAGACATAGAACTGGAAAAGTCTGAGAACTTAGTCAATCTTGAAAAATCGGGCAATTTAAAAACATAGTGTGCAATCCTGAAAGTCGAGGAAAATAAATTCATTTTAGTTTGATATATCTAAAAGTACAATTGGCAAAACAATTACCTGACAAAAAAGATACTCTGACAAATTAATTGGTCTTTTATTAGTTTTTTTTAATTGTTTATTTCCAATTCTTGTAGCAATAATTGTTTTGTTAAATATTTTATGTATAAGAATAAAGCATGAATGAAAAATTTATAAAATTTGTGCTTCTGATTACAAAAATCAGGAAAATTCTGATTTTTTTTTCTTCTTTTTCTGGATGTTTGTATCCACTTTGAATGGAGTTTTGATCTTCTCAAATCATCAACAAACATTTTTGAGAAAAAATTTTTTAACTTGTTCTGCTTTTTCTTACAGAAATTTTCTTAAGAAATGATAAAAGAATTACATTACTGTAAAAAGTATTAAGCAATTTATTCAAATATTTGACAATTTTTTTAAAGAATGCTCTATCAGATTATCACCAACATCATATGTTTTAAAAAAGATCATAAGGTTTCAATTTTTTTTTTCAATGTTCGATTTATATGAAATATCTAACTTTCCTTGAATGTCATTATTTCTCTTATATTATATTTAAAAAAATGTTTACAGAAAATGTTTTATTACAGTATTTTCTTATAAAAATCCATGCAAACTTTGTACAAAATTTATAAATCTTAGCAAGAGTGCTGCTGAATTCTTTGGACCTACCTCATTACTAGCTAGGGATTTCAAATATTATTTATATTCTAATTTTTTGTGTTTATTAAATATTAATTTGATATCTGTAAATATCAATTTTGCTATTTCAGATTATATAACTCCAATAATATTAAGCACTTAAAATAATTAGGTTTGAAATGCACACAATTGAGAAATACTTATGGGGAATTAATTAAACATAGAAATTATGAAAAAAAAATTTCTACTGGAGGTTCTAAGTCAGCTAATCAAATAAAATATAAGTGGATTTTTATTTAAGTGGTTCAACTTCAATGATTCCTCTAGGCAGGATTGTTTTAATATTGCCCAATCTGGTTATCTTATTTTAATACCCTTTTTTTCCCCCATGAGATATTTATGTTTTAAAATGACCTAATATGTAATTGATATGATTTTAATCTGTAATAATAATTAGTTGTGTTTAGCAATGTTGCATGTAAATAAAATCTATGCGAAAAAGCATACAGAAATTGAGCAGTAAAATAATGTTAATCTTTCAATTTTGTCCAATATTTATTTATGATGTATCAAGTTGCATGGATTAATGATGTTTTTCTATTGTTCTTTGGCTCTTATAACTGCATTTTCTCGTGATTTTGAAAATCCAGATATTTTCAACACATATTAATAAGCCACTCTAATCGCATATTGTAATGTGTGCTTTATTTGTGCCGATTTCATCAGAAATNTTTCAGATTATATAACTCCAATAATATTAAGTGAAGTCTAGGCAAGAATAATATTAAGCACTTAAAATAATTAGGTTTGAAATGCACGCAATTGAAAAATACTTATGGGGAATCAATTAAACATAGAAATTATGTAAAAAAATTCACTGGAGGTTCTAAGTGAGCTAATCAAATAAAACATAAGTGGATTTTTATTTAAGAAGTGCAACTTCAACGATTCCTGTAGGCAGGATTGTTTTAATATTGCCCAATCTGGTTAACTTATTTTAATACCTTTTTTTTCCTTGAGATATTTGTGTTTTAAATTGACTTAATATGTAATTGATATGATTTTAATCTGTAATAATAATTAGTTGTGTTTAGCAATGTTGCATGTAAATAAAATCTACGCGAAAAAGCATACAGAAATAAAGAAATTGAGCAGTAAAATAATGTTAATCTTTCAATTTTGTCCAATATTTATTTATGATGTATCAAGTTGCATGGATTAATGATGTTTTTCTATTGTTCTTTGGCTCTTATAACTGCATTTTCTCGTGATTTTGAAAATCCAGATATTTTCAACACATATTAATAAGCCACTCTAATCGCATATTGTAATGTGTGCTTTATTTGTGCCGATTTCATCAGAAATCAAAGGAATTTTTTTTATTGTTCTTTCAGCAGTTATTGCCACTCTTTTCTACATTTTATTTATTAATTTTATTATTTTTTAATCTGGTATTATAGCAACTTGCGTTTTTCTCAAATCACACATTTTAACAATCATTTGTGACAATTTTATTATCAATCTAAGTCATTTTTGATGTTTTTTTTTTTTTTTTTAAAAAAAGGCTAGCTACGCTTTTTTACATGATTTAGAAAATAACCAATATTTTTAAGATTTGCCCCCGAGTTTCAAAACACGTATTCCAATAATCACTTTAAATGTGCTTTATTTTTACCAATTTCATCGTCAATCTAGGGAATCTTGCAACTTTTTTTTACAATTATTGCTACTCATTTCTAGTTTTTTCTCTTTTTTAAAAAAAACTAAATTTTTAATACGATATTACGACTTGAGAAATTCGAACACTGGTTTTTTAAACTGTTTATCAATTTGT